GACACACTGGAACAGGTTGCCCAAGGAGGCTGTGGATGCCCCATCCCTGGAGACATTCAAGGCCAGGCTGGATGTGGCTCTGGGCAGCCTGGTCTGGTGGTTGGTGACCCTGCACACAGCGGGGGGGGGGGGGTTGAAACTGGACAATCATTGTGGTCCTTCTCAACCCAGGCCATTCTATGATCCTGTGAACAACCAAATATAAAACTGGGAGGAAAGTGACTGTGAATCATCTTTTTATTTCATAACCACGTCTCAAAATGCAACCAGCTATCCTTAAATGACTCCAGATATAGGCTTGGGACTATCCTAGTTTTAAAAATAAAAGCAAAATGCAATGTTACAAGATATGATAAGCAAAAGAGATTTAAAATCTATTTTTTATTTTTGCAGTTTCTTATTTCCCTCTGGTGAATATACTCGTTTTTTTGTTTGTTTGTTTTGTTGCTGTTTTTGCCATTAAAATTACAAGTATCTCTTATTTTAAATGTTCTAAAAATTTATCTCAATATTAAAAACACTATTTTCAATTTAATACAGTCCCAGTAGGAATCATAAGACTCATAGTGCATTAAAAAACACACACACACAAAAAAAAAACAAACCACAAAAAAGCCCCAACAACCATCCAACAATAAAAACTACAACAACAAATCAAAACTGGTGTTAATCAAACACACACTGTTTGGTGTATGCTATACATTGCAAAATCATGGTTTTTTAAAAAAGAAGCAACAACTGACCTGCTCAAGGTATCCAGCCATGGGAAGTGCAGTGAGTAGTATCGGCTCCCTTACAGGAGGGAGCTTATGTGGAAGCTTCAGATTCCAGTACTTCTCTGGTAACCTAACCAGATAAAAAATAAGTGCTTTAGAGATGTATAAATTGTAACATGATTAAAGTCTGCAGTGCAGCTAGTATATTCACCTCATAAACTTCAGAAGCTTTTCTTCACTTTCAAAAACATACAGCTTATCCTGATATTTTGCAGCGTACTCAGTGTTGCCAGGCACCAAAGCTTCATATCTGAAGAGACAGAGGAAGAATGAGTATTAATTTAGAAGAAATGTAAAGCATCACTTGCGTGCTCTAAACTCACCAGACAGTGAGAGCCTTCTGGTAATTCAGCAATTACAGGCACTACAAAACAGTACTGATCAGGTTGTCCATGCTTCCATTACATTACTGGCAGCTACAAGGATCAAAATCTGAGTGAGTCCCTGCCTTAAAATCTGCTTATAAATGGACTTTCATTGAACCACTCTAGATAAAATGCCAACTGTGGTTATTTAAAAGATTAAGACTGGACAGCACAAAATGGATTGTTAATGGTTGTACCTCAATGAGAAATTACTGCATACTGAGGAAATAAGTGTGACTTTATGGTGAAGCTTATTCTCATCTCTAGTCAGCTCTGGGGAAAGAGGTCCATGCATTTTAATCAATTCTGTTTAAGCACAGGCTTACATCAATTGACATTATCCAAAACACAAAATAAATGATCCTAGGCTCAAGGAAATGCTGACCTATAAATCTTTCATTTTCGATTTTCAGTAGGTGATCATTTGTCCAACCTGAGTCTCCACTAGGTAAGTCTGCCTTACAGTTGTTCAAGAGTTTTGGAAAAACATCCAGCCCTCCTTCTTTCATTTACAGGTGTACAGGAATTGATATTTAAAATGCTTCAGATGTAGCTCAGCCTAGTTACTTGAAATTCTCTAGACCACACTGCAAAGGAAAGGGAGCTCATAGGCTTCCAGCCTCAAAATAAAGACTAATACAGAATCTTATAACAGCTAAAGCACCAATGTTTTTAGTGCCCATCACTGCAAGAAAACAAATGAAGAAGAGAAGCAAAAGCTTTGGAAAAAAGCTGGTCAGGTGTGCTGCTTATCTCCAATTTTCACACTATAACTAGTGCCATTCCTTTCCACATTGCATGCTTGGCTTTCCTTCCTGTGAAAGCTGAAAGCATAAGGAAGACAGAAAATATATACCTATATTTTATATTGAAGTGGAATTATGGCAGGAGTGGAATGAAAACTCATATTCAACGAAGCCTTCCAAGGTCCCACAACTCTGACATTTTGTACTTGAAGTTTACTTACTGTACAAGCTGTCCAGTTTCAGTCTGAAACCAGTAGTCATGTACGTTTCAAAAGGATATTTTATGTAGATTTCCAAAGCCACAGGTGCAATGTAGAGGATTGTGATTGCTTTCCCTATCCAAACCCTGAATATACTTTTAAAAAGTACTTTCAAAGTATTTCCTCATTAACATGTCAATATGGGACAAATAGTCTGCAATTTGTATTATAAAAATAGTGATGATGTACCTCTGTTTTCCGTCTAGGTAAGTGACTGGACAGTATCCTTGCATTTCAGCACTTTTAGGGAATAAGGCCTTCACTTCTGCTGCTGTCAGTTTTTGTGGTAACTTATCTGGAGGTGGAAGAGGGTGAGGTGCCAGTGGTGGCACATAAATCTCTGGTCTGCTCAAGAATTTCTGTAGAAGAAATTAAATGTTTTTATAATGAAAGAAGCACTATAAGATTGTTAACCACACAATCACAGAATTGCAGAGTTGGAAGGGACCTGTAAAGATGGAGTCCAAACCCCCTGCTAAAGCAGGTTCTCTACAGTAAGTCAAACTCCAGAAGAATGGCTCACTCAATTTCAATATTTCTTTTACATCACCTCTCCTAATGTGCTGGCATTGCTGCTACTCTTGGGTAACTCATTTGTTTTCCAACCCACTCTAAGTTGAAGTCATCACTATCCACCCACCACTATCACTATCCATTGTTACCATTAGTTGTTTCCTACCCCCAGCCCACTACCAAACAGATGGAGAAGGGAGAAAACGATTGCTTCAAAATTAATCTTTCATCTATGTCCATTTGTAAGAGGTGCACAGGTTTGAATGGGACTCTGCTACGTTTCATCTGACTGGACACTGGATAGCAAAGTATACAAACCAAAAGTGAGAATACTAATAAAACTAGTCAAAATTGAATTACACTTTGCTTGTTTCTGTACTGAATCAAAGAATCCAAGAAACAATGCTTCCTCTCTCAGTAATTCAGTCCACATAAGCTTTTTGACACTTACTTTCAATTCTTCCTGTGAAGCCATTTTGTAATAGTGTGCTCGAAACTCTGCAGCAAACTGTAGTGACGATGTTACAGAGCAGTCAACTAGTTCACCCCTGTCTGCAAGGCTGACAGGACAGTACTGTCCAAACTCTCCCAGCCGATACTGCAGCTCTTCAGGGGTGATGCATAAATCAGCAATGCTGGCTGCTTTTCCTGTTAACAAAAATAATCAATGGTATCATAGAATCCTAGAATAGCCTGGTTGAAAAGTGCCACAGTGATCATCTTGTTTCAACCCCCTGCTGTGTGCAGGGTCACCAACCACCAGACCAGGCTGCCCAGAGCCACATCCAGCCTGGCCTTGAATGCCTCCAGGGATGGGGCATCCACAACCTCCTTGGGCAACCTGTTCCAGTGTGTCACCACCCTCTGGGTGAAAAACTTCCTCCTAATATCTGACCTAAACCTCTTCTGTCTCACTTATGACCATTCCCCCTTGTCCTATCACTATCCACCCTCGTAAACAGTCATTCCCCCTCCTGTTTATACACTCCCTTAAAGTACTGGAAAGCCACAATGAGGTCTCCCTGGAGTCTTCTCCAAGCAAGCCCACTTCCGTCAACCTTTCCTCATAGGAGAGATGCTCCAGCCCTCCTTAATCATTCATTTTATATCGGAAGACAGAAATATAAAGCATTTCTGTGTAAAAACATCACAGTTTAAATGTTACAGTTTATCATATTAAAATATGTAATAACAGAAATAAACCAAAATAGCAATTTTTATTTATCAATATTAAAATGAAGTTGCAACTCAATTTACCAGTTAATTGTAATAAAATTTTTCTAGAATTTACTTACTGGAATAGTTATTTATTATATGACATACAGTGCATGCTTAGCATACACTAGTATGTTTTACCTAGAACAGCGTTATTTATAATTTGTTTTACTCCTTTGTGTTGCTAAGGAACATTTCACTATTATATTTCTTTACATTGTTGAAAAAGAGTACAAGGCTTGAGGAAAGCTTCCTGTTTACTTATGCACATCTTGCAAATGCTACAATCTGTCTGGACAAAATATATTCAAAATCTTGAACAAAATGTCATATAAAACCCAAGCTACTTAAAACTCTTCTTCCCAAGCTTTTGACTCTTGACTGATACTTATAATAGTGCAGCCACCAAAATGTTAAAGTCCAAAAGATGAGTACGAGATAAGGAAGATAAGACAAGTTTGCCTTTTAGAAGAATCCTTGTTTAACAGAACATGCATATTTGAAGGGCACACACTTAACCTTGACCAAAACTGACACATGCAAATTCAAGTGGGAGCCATGCCATTTTAGACTAAAATGGTTTTCATCCCTCCGTACAGAAATTAACTCAAATGGCACAGTTAACCTTCATTCTGAATTTATAGTTAATATTTTTCCATTCCTTTCCCTTTCCTCTACTGGCACATCAATAAATCTGCAAGTCATAATTCCCTTGTACATGCTGGGGTCCCCTTTTTGTTATCACTAAAGTTGAGAAATCACTATTTTCATAATATAAATTGCAGACTATGTGTGCCATATTAACATGTTATCACTAAAGTTGAGAATCTGTCCTGTCAGCCTTGCAGACAAGAGCTGTGGACTGCAAAACCACAGTTGATTTCTCTTTGCTGTACTATGTTACCCAGATCTTTGGAAGATGACTGTATGCTGAGTTGTAGTTGCTTTGTTCTTTGCTGTCATCAAAACACCTCTCAAGCTCTGTCCAGAGGATATCAAGGAATTTGCGGCATGTGTGTGCCCAAGAACTAGCTTCATCCAAAACAAGTTTAAGTTGAATTTAAACACAGTCATTACATTACAGCTTCTTAAATGAATATTATTCTGAGCAACTTTGTTTTTCTTTACCTTCTCTTATTCTTTCCAGGTATATCTGGATTTCTTTAACAATCACTTGAACTTCCTGCAGAACTCTGTCCCATATCCACCACTTGCTCTGAAATGCATCGATCACGCACCAGTTCTGATGCTCTTTCTTATAATAAGTCCTAATTGCGTCAATATGTTGCCTATAGTAGGAATTTTTAATTGCCAGAATCTGTGAGCTGTCATGTACAGGGTAGGAAGGTCTGAAGGGAACAAAAAAAATAGCGTTGACTTAATAGGAATGTGAAGATTAAATCATTTCATTGAAATTTGAATGTAAATATAAGAATTCGTTTCAAGGTTTTTTGGTTTGTCTGTTTTTTTGTTTTTTTTGTTTGTTTGTTTTTGAGATTTTGCTTATTTGAAATTATAAATCATATTTGAGAAATACAACTTCCATATTAAGAATATTGAGTTTCATTGTCATTTCAGAAATAAGCTGCTGACCAAGAAGTTACATCCAAAAACAACTACTTTGCTGTTCATGTCCCAAATACATTCTGTAAAGCTTTTTGAACGTGTCAGCACACTTCAGCTGACACACACTATCAGTATACCATGAAATGCTACTCTACAAAATCTTACGAGACTCTTCAAATGAATGTCAGTTGTTCACTGCAAAACAGGCTTAGTTTTAAATTATATTACTTGAAATCAAGAAGTAACCATCATTCCCAGATACATTTTGCAAACTGTGTATCTGTCACATTTCCATGTATATACATAAATAATCTATTTAACCTTTAGAAATCTTACTCAAGACCAGAAGAGAAATTTTCACTTGAACATAAAACATCTACTGCACTGGTTCTTATTTAAAAGATTTTAAAAATAGATATAAACTTCTATTTTGATAGGATTCATTTCTCTGTAAGTTGTACTTTTCAGAAATATTGCACATTTGTTATATATTTAAACTTATAAAATATAATCAGTTTGATATTTAGAATTGAAATGTTAAAGTAAATATTTTCAAAGAGATACCATTAATTTAATTTTTGGCAGTGCAAATTGTCTTCAAGTTTTTAGTAAACAATTATGTATCATACTGATTACTTGATAAAACAAGAGACAAAATGAAAGGGACAAGCAATAATGCTCTAAGCTATTTGAAACTTCTTAGAAACTCTTCCTCTAATGAGAACCAGGTCCTTATACAATTCAATTATAATCTGAACGTTCTGTTCTTTTTAATTATCTGTTGGTTTATAAACTACTTACTGCTCTTCTTCAAAAACAACAAGTGGCTCTTCAAACAAAGATTTCAGTTTGTTTCTAAGTTTCTAGTTTGTTGACTAATTCATAAATTGTACATTATTAAAATATACATTATTTTCACATTTCTTAAAAGAAAACAAAAACTTAAAGAATAGAGTTCATTAGGTGAAGCATCAATTTCTCTTATGATGGTAATAATTGAACTGATGAATAATAAACTTCAGCAGCAAACTCATAATAATTCTGATAATGGTTTCAATAAAATCAATTAAACTAAGCAATGGGTGCATGCCCTTGCATATCTACATCCTCTCAGTCATGCGCTCTGGGGATCTATCTAGAGAATGCCACAAGTTTCTCTGGCAACTTATGTCTCTGCTTCTGGTCTATGGAAATTAAAGCATTAGATGGTGCAAGGCCTGGTGCCCTTATCTTCTCTTATGTAAAATATAACCTCTCTGCACCAAGGCACGCACACAGAGAGGTGACAAAATTATGTGAAAAAGAGAGCATCACTACCTATTTGTGCTTTCTTTATCCAGCAGAGCTCTTCTGAATAGTTCCTTTGCGTCCATTTCTAACTCAAAGATTTTCACAGGAATTATTCTAGCTGATTCCAAGAGGTTTACTTGTTTTCTCGTTACAGGGTATCCATCAATAACAACTCTGCATACAACCAGAAACAGAAATACAGTTTTTCTAAGTCAGTTACTAATTAATCATTAAGGCTACGTATACTCTGAGTACATTCTCAACGGAGACAGAAGTCTATTCCCAAGCAATTAAATCAGTGCTGCCCTGACTTGACTCAGTCTTCCCTCAGAGGAGTTAAAATTAATACAATAAAATAGTGACAATAAGAAATAGTAAAAAATAAATGAAATACACAATGGGCGAAAGATTAATAATGTAAGTGTACGGCAGATTTCCAAATTCCAACATATCCATCATTCAGAAGCATGATTTTAACTATTTGAAATGCCTGTATGGATTGGGAGAAGGAAATTCAAAGTAAAAAATAAATTGACTTACAGTGAAAAATAAATTGATTTGATTTCCCCCAAAGAAGAAGGCCAAAGAAGACTTTGTGCTTACCCAATGGTAGCACACACACGATCCATCAGGGCCACATCCAGGGCCTGGATGGCCAGCTCATCAGGTATGGTCAGCCCTCTGTGAAGATGCCACTTTAACTGAAGCCCCAACTCACTCTCTGGCTGATTGTTTAACACGAACCGTATGGCATCTCCCATGCTCAGCCTACGTAGTCCATACACATTTTCAAATTTCTTGGCAACTGCAAAACATTTTGATTTCAACAAACAGCTTTTATGCAGACAACGTCAAAACCCAGCAGTCTGTTAAAGCATATCTATAGCCTTAGAAGCTGAGTGCTCATTCCTTGGGTCATTTCCGTACGTAACCTTGGTAAGCAGGTACCTAGCTCTGGTTAGATCCTTCAAGAACCCAAAGCTTTCCATGTGTGCAGAGTGTGCCCAATGCACTGACACTATTCAGTTTATCTCAAACCTCAGCAGCCATAGTAAATATCTAAGAAAATACACTTTTTCTACTGCCTCCTTTAGAGAACAGCCTGACAGTTTCAGATCACTCACACTGGAAATGGGAAATATGGTTAGAATTTCGTCTTTAATATGAAATCATTTAAACCCTTCTCTTCTTTTTCTAGCACTTTAAGCTGATCATTAAGTTGTGATCTAAGCTGAATTTTCTTCTCCTCTAGTTAGAAGCAGAGACCTGGGGATTGAAGAAGTCATGGAAGGAGAAGAAAAAAGAGGGAAGATGAGGGAAGAGGCAACAGAGCGGTAGATGTGGAATTTTGGGTTCTGGTCCACGATCCTAGAAATACTCTTTTCATCATACCAATTGAAAGAAATAACAACCAACTAGAATAACTAGAAATAATAAAACATGTTTAAGTAATACAAGTCTAGATTTTCTAACCGCTAGTCTATGTCAATAACAACTTCATAAGAAGCTGGAAATAAAATTAAGATGGGAAATGCATAAGTACCTGGCTGTAAAATGATACAGTAGAGAGTGTAACTGTAGGACTCTATGCCTAGCATGAAAAGCAGGAAGACCTAACATATTAAAGGCTCGTGATTTTTTCAGTAGCGGCCATGGCAGACACAGTCTCAATCATTAGATAATCTTCTGCTTTATAGAGAATATTGGCTCCTACCTGTAGTCTTCCCAGATTTTGGAGGTCCCACGATTGCAATCTTAACTGGCACAGGTGGTTTAGGCTTCGGCTGACAAATATATTTGATGGGATTGTTCATAAATGTTTCTCTGTTTTTTTTACTTGAAAAAAAATAAACATATTGTCGATGAATTACAGGAAAGAGTGTGTTTTCATAGTTTTGTGCTGGCTTGATTATCTCTCCTTCGTTTAGCTGCAGAACATACAAAATATGAAGCAGCTGATTAGATTTGGCATAGCCTCCGCACTCTCCATCCTACAAACGTAGCTTTATGGGCAAGTAAAGAAGTACCAACTGCACTCTATTTTGACATACATAGAGACGGATTTTGTACAAGTCTGTGGAATTTCTATATGCAATTTCTGCACAAAAAGGTGGACACCAAGGGGAGAAAGAATATTCACTACTTCCAGCAGGTGGTACCATAACACTTTCTGTCTATCAGAAAAGTAATCACAGAGGTATAACAGTACGTTTTAATTTTCAAACAATTGATGACATTTCTATCAAGGATAAATAAATAAATATAATGTCTCCGTAAATTACAAAAGAGTCACATTATTTGCCTGACAGTAAAAGATACACTGAGAATATTTTATAAATAAAATGGAAAAGAATACCAATACATACACTGTGATGAAATGTAAAAATAATGAAACCTAATAAAATACATATGCTGGTGATGGAATCTTTTTGAACACATGAGACAACCACTAGGAAGTCTACAGAGCTGATGGCTAATTGAGATGCAAGAGAAGCACCAATGGCAAAACTGGTCATTGCAGAAATACTAAGTGAATTTCTTGCACCACTGCTATAGAAGAATTTTGTCACGTCTTTTGTTATTCTCTTTCTTAGAGGAACCGCCTTACAGTGTCAGAAGTTTTTAGAACAAACTAGAGACATCGTAGAAAAAAGACTGCAAAGACCAGATGGCATTCACCTGACAGTTCAAAGGGGACTCAGAAGTGAAATTGTTACTGACTGATGTGTAACTTATTGCTGTCCTTCCACAAAAAAACGTACGTCCAAAAAGTGAGTATATTTATTTGAATATATACAGGATGAATCCTGGCATCCACAGTCCAGTAAATCTGAGCTTGTATTGAGCAAATTGAAATATATTAAGGAAAAAATTAGTAGTCATAGGCAATACATATGAAATAAGGAGGAGATGCCAACTCAGCTTCTTCTGCGGAATGAAATCATACCTCTCAAATCTATTAGTATTCTTTGAATAGTTAGTTAACTTACAAATAAGATGATCTTGTTACAGTAAGATAAGAGTCTGTTTACTGCATGGCATTATCTTGACAGACCTTCTCTAATTCTTAGTTCCCATTGTCACACAAAGTCATTTCTGAGTGCTTGCCTTCAATTTATAAGAATGCCTGGAGTCTGATCTACTGTATATTTGCTCACAATCCTCTTTCAGCTCATCATCTTTCTCTGCTTATCTAATCAGTTGCATAACTACTTCCCCTCTTCAATTTAATCTAAATGTAGTCGTCATATATTCTACCTGCCCTTCTTCAAAAAGCCCTCTAGTCCTTAATCAATTTAATCATTTCATTTGTACATCATAAAATATCCTCAAAATGATCTTATTTTTCTTTCCTTATTGATAGCATGTACATTTCTTACTGGCAGCACGCTTCTCTGATTTCATCTAATGGCTTCCTAGGACTTCCTTCATTCTTCCAACTCAACTATTGCTTTTTAGTTGGTTAAAAAAAATAATAATTAAAAAAACCCACTACACAGCACAAATGAACAAATTGGAGAAATGGATTAACAAAAATGTAGTTACTTTAACAGGCTGATTGTTAAGGTCTAGCATATAGGAACCAATAAGAATTTCACTTGGTATACATAGACATGAATACTTTCTGACCTCAACTTTCCAGATCTCTAGAAAGTATGAAATTAGATTTACTGCTCTTTAAAATTCATACATATTCATTCATGCATATTACTGCTGATGAATTAAATACATTTAACATTCAATATGTTAATACATATGGTGTTTTACTTCTTTTGCTACTTTGAGGGTTGGTGGCCATTTACATAGTCTAACACTTCATAACAATACCAAGGCTTGATATATTTTGTGTATATTCAGTAGTGTGGTTTTGATTCAGTTTTGATTCAAGAACTGCTCCAAAAGTAATACCTCCTTTTTTATTATGCTGGCTAACAACATCACAGGGAGATGGTGGTGGTAGCATAGTAGTACAGGGTGAACCTTCCCTTCAGTATTCCATTATGTGCTGTTGCTGTATGGCAGTCTGACATAATGACATGGAAGTGAGGATGAAGAAAAGGTTTGTCAGTGATTTCCTGCATGTGGAAAAAACTGCACCCACTGACATTCACCGATGCTTGCTGAATGTTGATGGATACAAAACAGTGGATGTGAACACAGTGAGTGGTGCATTTCAGTGGTTGCGATAGAGACATTGCGTCACTTCCGCTGGTGCAGATTTTTACAAGCATAGGATGCAGGCTCTTGTTTATCACTGGCAAAAATGCATAGCTAATGGTGGCAATTATGTTGAAAATAGTGTTTTGTATCTGAGAATTTGCTCTACCAGTGTTGTTGTGCTCTTTGTATCTGTTGTGGTTTTCATGGAAATAAATAAGAGGCATTATATTTGGAGCAACCTACATGGTTTTGATTAAGTATTATTGGTATTATTTGATATGGACTCATTGTTTTTAGTATTATATACATAATATTATATACATTTTATGGTAACATTACTTTCATAAGTGCTATTCAAGATAATTACCTTGATTGGATCCCACTGACCAAAAGAACTAGGAAATTTATATGACAAAACTAACATCTTATGTGCAAGTGGCAAACTTATTGGGTAACATTTTTCAAAAATGCTTCCACGATTTTCCACTAAAGAATTCAGCTTGCAATACATTTGGTAGCGTACTATGCGCAGCTTCCGTCTTCCACTGATCTCCATTTGTGGTATTAAGAATTTTTCAAGTTCTTCCTGATCAATGAAAAAATAACAAAATATTAGAAATGATAAACATGTTCATATCTTCAATAATATTTTCTATGAACTGTTGACAATATCTTGAGCACGTTCTCAGTCACTGTAAATCAGCAATATTTGAGATGAAAACTGATCTTCCTCTCCACTGAAGCTTTAAATTAGTCAGACTATATTAAGTATCACCATATTCTAAAAGAAATTGAAAATCTAATAAATCACACTGAGGAATCCACTATGATAAGTGAAATCTTTAGAAGTATATTTTATAAAAAATCATCAAATACCATTATTCCCTTCTCAAGGTGATTTATTCTACCATAAAAGAGGAAGATTGCACCATGTCAAACGGGACCATAAATTAATTAAATTAAAGAATTAGTTAACCTTAGAACATGAATCAGAAATATTAAGTTATATAAACTCATTCATAAACACATTAAAAATTCTTGGAATTAAAAAAAAAGAACAATGGGGAAAATGTTGAGTAAGCTGTAACTAAGGAATATTATGTAACAGTATGTAGTCCCAGTATGTAATTCTGTTATTAGAATTTTGCTTTGAAAAGTATATTTGAAATGTTGTTCATATGAATTTCATATTTGGCTGCCAGCATCAATTCACCTATTATTCTTACAATTTTCATACTTTCTAAAGCATAAAACTTCTCAGTACAGTTTTCAGATGTCAGCAGCAATACTGTTTATACTTTGAAGTCTGACAACTAAAATAAAAATGAAGACTTCTTGTATCATAGCCATATGTTATAATACCATTTTTAAATCGTATAGCTTTATAAAAAACATAGTGGAATAGGTACCTGTACACCTTCTATGCTTTCTCTTTCTGAATCAAACCTTTCTACAATCTCATTTTGCATGCGCTCAACAGCATCAATCTCTTGTTCTTCTTCAGGCTCTTCTTCTTCTTGTTCGAAAAACTCTTCTTCAAGTATAGCTTCAATGTCTTCATTTGCAGTCTCGTCTTCCTCCTCACTGGTTTCATAATCTTCCCCATCTGCTAAAACCTACAAATGTAAAATACTTTTATGTCTTATATGCAGATGCTTTGAGGGAACATATACTACTCCAGTTTTTGTTGCTTTTTTTTTTTTTTTAATTATAAAACTCATTAATTCAAGAAATTATTAAACCATTCAACAACATTTTAGGGGCATTCTTTATTGCAAGCAAAAATCTAGTAAATGCTGAAATTGTATTTCAAAAGAAATTACAGATGTGTTGCATTGTGCTATCGTACCTTTGTAATTGCATTTGGGCAGAAATCTGGAACAATTCCATTTGGTATTAACAGGGGACTTAAAGCCAATGCCTAATTGCAATTAGTAGGGCTACTCTTACACTTACAAATTAGGTAAGTTAAACGCATTCGTAAGTATTTTGCTGACTTCAGCACATACTGAGAATTGGTTTTAGTGGAATGAGTCAACGGTTTCTAAACGAATTTCAACAACTTTTCAAATTACTTTGGAAAGCAGAGGTTTCTGGCAGTCTACCACATATTTACTATTCCACATTGCTCTACAAGTTGTGAGTAAAAGCTGTAGAAATTTCTACGATACAAGTGCAAACACTTCTACTTAAATTGGTTTTGTACACTTTTGTTTTCTTACCTCCTCCTTCCTTTTTTTTTGTTCTGCTAGGAGTTCTGCCCTTCTTCTAGCAATCTTCTCATTCTATTAGTGAAAAAAGATGCAAGAAGACAATGATATTTGCTGATAAAAACTCTACTGTGAGAACTGGTGACAGAAACTGGAATCAATACTGTTATTTTCACTTTAGAGCTCTGTTTCCAGTTGCTTTTAATATTAAAAACTGCTGCCTGTGCGCCCTCTACCTTTGCATGCTCTACGTGAACACGTATCTAAATTTTAATAAAATTAATTTGGCAATTTCTGAGAATGAGATTAGGGAAGAAAAAGACTGTGATTCTATTTGCACTGAAAATATTATCATCTTTTTGTTGGTAAGCCACAGAGTTTCTAAACATATAGGTGGCACACAGCTATAAAGTAAGACTATGGAAAACACAGATCAGCACAACAGCTGAGATGCAACAGCAGTAATGTGCTGTAGTTGACTTTTTTGGCCATGCTACCTACCTCACTCCCCCTAGTTGCCTTTTTCCCAGGACTTCCCAGGTGCACGGCATACTCTCGCCCTGCCAGGTGTCTGGCAGCACAGCTCATTTACTTGGCCTACTGGATAACTACACATGTGCATACATTACCTGCATTGGGCTGCGTTAATGTGGGAGGAGAGGAGAAAAGGAGCCCCGAGTTCTTATTGTCCCCTGGGTTAAACCTGATTTGGGGGCTGTCTCTCCTTGTCCCATTTCTGTTTCTCTGTGTGCTCTTCAGTGCTCTGTGAGTTTTAGGAGTGAAAACCTACCTTTATTTTTGCTTTCAGATCTTTCAGTTTCTTTTTATTTTCTGCTTTTTTATGCTGTCTTTCTTTCCACTTTTTTAGACGTGGAGGTAAAAGACGGTCAAGAATGTCAGTTTCTTCTACATGAATATAAACAGCAACATCAGGACAGAGTCCTCGTTCTGACAAATACTGGGCTTCGTCTAAAGTACGAGGGAAACCATCCAGTATAAATCCTGTGGACCTAATTGGAAAAAAATAATCACATATCGATGTAGTTTAAAGTGAAAATGAAAATGCACAGAATTAAAAAAAGTTGTTTTAAACTTCCTTATTAAATGCATAATAACATTTTTGAAAATATTGATTTCACAGATTGTATCTTCACGATGTAAGAATAATCCTTCACTATATATCTTAATTCTTACAGATTAATGTAACAAATTTATTTTGAGGTTTTACTGTGCAGAGACAAAAAGATGTTTTAAAATAAATTTGAAATAAATAAAATACATTGTGCCTTTAATGTACTTTGTTTGACCCAAGAAACAATAACTACAAAACCCTTAGCTGATGCTCTCAAAGAGAAGACGCCCCAAGTATTATTTGAATAATATCTGTCATAGCACTTTTGTCATTGTGGACACAATGGATGATATACTTCCTCAGGTTAATTAAAGAAAGAGGGGATGTACTTGTAGTTACCGGAATGGTTCTTTCCTCCACCAATCAGGAACAATGTTGTCAAGTACTTCTGGAGGTAATGGCTGAGCATCCATTAGATTTGCTTTGATAGCTTCTTCCTCATCAGTTAACTCCACTTCCTTTACATAAAGCAAATCCATAACAAATGAAAAACAACAGAAGCAACAAAAGAAAAAAGAGAGAAAAAGCAAGAAGAGTTGCCATACAAATTCTTTTTTTTTTTTTTTTAAACAAATTGTACAAATAACCATCTGTCTTGGAGTGCTGCCCATGGAGGGTATATTTTTATTAGCATTTTAGCTCGTAATAAAAGGGTACTTTTCAAACAAACATCCAAGCATCTCAAGCCTTTATTTCACAGCAGAGAGAGGACTTGAAGTGCATCAGCTATATTTGCTTCATATAAAACTAAACTTGAGAGTGTTTTCTAGAGGGACTTCCTAAAATTACTGTTCTTCCAGTGAACAATAGTCAATCCACAGGATTGGATTAGACCTACTCCAACATCTTGTCCCTTCTCCACTGGAATATGTATAAGGGGGGGTCATTTAATCACACACACAAGGTTTCCATTTGTTAATAGTATGCATTTTCCTGATAAAATTCATTGGTCATTTTGAAAATCTCCAATTTCCTTTTTTTTTATTATTTTTTTTTTTTCAAATATCTGATCACATAATAAAATACCAGTTCGGTGGGCATCTGAATGCTCATGTAGATATTACAAGAATGTATTTGTAACTTCCTAATTGTGCAAATTTGCTTCTTAAACAATTGAGCAATATTTCAGGAAAAAAAAAAATCAACAACAAAAAACACATTTAAATGAATATATAGCTTATCTCTACAACAGCAAATAGTAGGCACAATAGCAGAAATTTTGTAGAACAAAATCAATGGTGCTAATGACCCAATATATACACTACATAGACTGAGAGAACATTTAGGCCTAGATCTGATCTGTCCCTCTGGATTGAGCATCCATAAACAGATGGAATGCATTAGGCATGCTTCTGAAGCACGTGCTTGAGCTTAGTTTCATTCAAGATGGATTCAGTTCATACTCTCTGAAACTGCTCCATGTGAACTGAAAAGGGGAAGATGGGACAAGGGAAAGGTGGAGACAAATAGATTTGCTTCTAAAGTATTGCCTGGTCTGAAATTAGTCTTTAAGATGACTAGATATTTACTACTGCAAGAGTGTTATTTAATGCTGGTAGCCATCAAACATCCACTTAGCTTGTATCCAAAATCAAAAAGTGAAAGTGAAATCAAATGATTTTGGAGAACACTAGATAACAGGATAGTGTTGGTAATCATACTCAGAGAAACGTTTATGGAGGAATAATCTTGGATGCTGCCTGCTAGGGTTTTATCCTATTCACAGACCAATGAACAGCTTTCTATAGTGAACTGTAATTACGTCAGTTGTGCTTTGGCCATGCCATCACATAAAGCACTTTACAATGAGTCTGAGAAAGAAAAATACTCACATCGAAGAAGGTTGCTTACCAGCAGATAAAAAGCTGATGAGGACAAAAATACAAACAGAAGTGTATCCTTTATGTGTAGAACACTGTCTTGCCTTTATGTGTAGAACACTGTCTTGATGCCAAAAAATAAGTAAATACTGCTGACTGAGAACCAGCCATAAACATCAGTGCCAGGAACACTTGCCATATTTTTGGCTGCAATAAGCAAGTTATAAACTGACCTGCCAAAAGCATCTTCACACATTCCCCATATCATTCTGACATTTTTTTCTTCCTTTTAGCAATTGTCTTGACTATTTTGGAAAAAAAAAACAACAAACAAATGGAAAAAAAAAATAACAAAACAAGACTACATATAATTTATTAAAAAGATTTGGAGAATTTTGGTGACATTCTTAAGAAAGTGAAAAAGCATTGTCAATATTTGCAACAGAACTGTTATTTCCAAACTTCATCAGGAAAATAGTTTAACATAAATGATTTTTATCTGACTAGAATTTTATAGGCAACTGCTAGACAGTTCAGAAAACAGTTGTGCTGTCTACAGACACAAAAATATTCAGATTATTACCTGTTTGCTTTCATCATCTTCCGTTTTAGTCGTGGTCTGAGATAAGTCTTGCAGTTCCTGTAATTCATCATCTTCTTCAGGTTCTTCATCAAAATCAAGACCAATTTTCTCCTTAGTTTTGGGTAAGAGCAGTTCTTGCAGATATTCTTTAAATTGAATATGGAAAATGCCAAATTTGTCTGCTAGCCATCGTGCACAAGCAGTTTTACCAGCTCCATGTGTCCCCAGCAAACACACCCTTAAGGGAGGAGCCTATAGGGGAAAAAAAAAAAAAAAAAAAAAAGGAGCATTTTAGTAACTGGGACTCCACAGTGCATCTCCTACTGATTTTCAGTTCCAAAATATCATTATAAAAATTGTCTGAAAAACAGATCATTTTGCATTTTACTTTTGTCAGCTCTTATACTGCAGTTCCAAGCAGGCCTGCTCCCTGAAATAGCTAACAAGTACACCATGGCAGGTGATACCAGTAAGTAAAAACAAAATCCCAATTAGATGATTCCAGTAAACATGCATTTATTTTACCTTTCCTCTACCTATTAAAAAATAAAAAAAGAACTTTAAAACAATAGAAGTAGTAATAACTGCGATTCGTAAGCCAAAACATGATTATTGTGTGCCCTTATTCTCTTTTCTACTGTATCTGCATCATTAATTCAATGTGTTAATTTGAACATACACTGTAAAGTCACTAAGGAAGCAGCAACGTTTTATTTTTTTCAGGTACTTGTGTGATATACAAGTCATTTCATAGAAAAAAAATCAGATATGATAAACAATTGTAGATGGATCTGGAAAATAGTGATTTTAATTTGTTATATGCTTCAAACAGTTTTAAAGATGCTCACCTGTAACGGTTCTTTGTGAGCCACATACTCCTCAGGGTTCTTCAGAAATTTCTCTCTGTACTCAAGATTTGAAAAGTAATAAATCTTTTCTCGATATTTAGCTGCATGTTCAGGCAGTCCTGGATAAAGGACATAATCCTCTTTCAGACTGACCGGACAGAAGTGTTTCGTGTCTCCCATGTGTCTTTTCTTTTCCTTAGATTTTTCTTCATCCTGAAAGGATTGTGAAAATTTTTTAAAGTTGTTCGAATTCAGTCATTTACTTATGTTAAGTAGATCAAGAAAATTAGACCAATATTGAATGTATCACCAGAGCACTGAATGAGAACTGCATTGTAACTCTTGTAACTCAAAATAGACATGAGTCTATAAAAACATGCCGTTTTTGGATTCTGTCAGAAAACAAACTGTCCAAGGTAGAGAGATAATTAGTGAGAAAAGAATGACCGTACAAAGTTCCAAATGATAACATCATTGTCAGCTGTTGAATACTAAAATTAGGTTAGGAGTATCTGATAAAATCTTTTCCTGTTGTGTTCTTGAAACTTACTTTTTGTTGCTTCTAAATGTAAAGAAGGAAGTAGACTTCTCAGAAAGGGCAGTGAGAGCTGGTAATATGAAATCTATTTATCCAATAAAATTAAGTTCTAAAAAGCTATTTGTACAGTATACAGATATTTTGTAATGTTAAATGTGGGGATGGGCATCTTTAAATATAGGATGAAAATAAGGGTGAATCTAGGACTTAAATTTCATTAAAATTAGCATTTGAAAACTATCAATAGTTGAAATGAAGCAGAGGATTGAACATGAGGGTTTTTACATTGCCTCTTCCAAAGTTTATGTGAAGGCTCACAGAATCATTGTTAATTGACAGCAATTAAAGATCACATTTGTTTTTTTTTAATAAAACCCCTCTTTGCCACCTGACAAAACATGCATTCTCTCTACTAGCATGGGGCATTTATGCTTCTTGTTGGAATCAAATCTATCGGCCAGATCAGAGAAATACAATGAAACTCCTCTTGAAGCACATGATTACATTTATTCTCAAAGAAGGCTAAAACTGGATCATACAAAACCAGATGCAAAAATCGATTTATCTGAGGTACAGATCAAGCTGAAAATGAGTTAAAATCAACTGAGTTAAAGTAGATAAAGCCAGCAATCTTACTTCTTCATTTTCCTCTTCCTCAGCTTCATTATCTTCTATAGCTTCTGCTTCAGCAGCTAGGTCTTCTGCTTCCTCGTCTAAGTCTTCATTAGATAATTCCCAGCCATGATATTTAAAAGGTTCTGAAAAGGTTAATTTTGTTTCCTGTTTCATATTTTTCACTTGGCTATATCAAAATATATTCTCTTCATACATAAAAGCAAGCACACACATGGCAGTAAATCATTCAGTTTCTCTTATTCAAAGAACAAATGTTCTTTCCACATATATGAAATAAGCATATGAGGCTGCTCCAAAAGTAATGCCTCCTGTTATGTTATGTTGGCAAAAAAAACATCAGAGGTGGATGGTGGTGGTGCTACGGTAGTAGAGGGTGAACCTTCCTGTCAGTATTCCATTACGTGCTGTTGCTGTGTGGCAGATGGCAGCAGAGGGGCAGCCTGACACAATGGTGTCTGACATGGAAGTGAAGATGAAGCAAAGGTGCGCCACTGAATTCCTCCATGTGGAAAAAATTGCACCTGCTGACATTCACTGATGCTTGCTGAGTGTTAATGGAGACCAAACAGTGGACGTGAACATAGTGAGGCAACGGGGGTAGTGACAGTGACATGAAAGCCATATTTCTGATGGCCATGAACAGCTAGTGCAGATTTTTACAAGGGTGGCATGCAGGTTTTTTCCATCACTGGCAAAAACACATAGCTAATGGTGGTGACTGTGTTGAAAAAGTGTTTTGTCGGTAGAACTTTCTCTATCAAATAGTGTTGTTGTGCTCTTTGTACCTGTTGTAGTTTCCATGAAAATAAATTGGAGGCATTACTTTTAGAGCAGCCTACACTTATTAATATATTGATTCCTCCAAAAAATATATCGCTAATAAACTGGTTTACTTCTCTACTGAAGTAAACTAGCATTGTCATTGAGCTTTCTGAGTACAAGTATTATGTAAATAGATGGAGACAGTGGCATTAATTAAAAAGTTTGCAACAGTTTCTTTCTTATTATTTATTGAGAAAAAATCATGGTTTTTTTTTTATAATTTTAAAGTTAGCAGAACATATGTTTTAGTTTGCACTTGCATTGAATTCCATGAATTCATAGGAAAAGTGTGTTATTAATATTATTTATCCAGTACTCAAAATTGTTGGAGATTTGAGCTTGTAAAGAAAGTGTACTTACCAAAACAATATTAAGACTGTAAAAATTCAGTCTTGAAACATGACATATGTAAGTGGGTATATTATTACCACACTGAAAATCTTACTGACTTCAACAGGTATCATACATTAGTAAACATTTACTTTCTGACCATTTCTCATACACTTATCCTAGTATAAAAAGATAGGGCAAGTAACTAAGCAAATCGATGTCAGAATGATTAGAGAGCAAATTGTGTACATATTTGTATAGCATATATATATTTCAAATATATTTATATTCCTAAATCTTTGAATGCCTTAAAGGCTGCAGTTGTGCTTCTCAGGTCACCAACAGAATGTAGCATGTTCTGTTCCCACTTCCTATACGTGAGTATTCAGTATAACCTCTCCTCTAGTATATTCATCATACAAACTCTCCAAAATCCCTCTTTGTATGTTAAATGTAAATCACAGAAACAGTACTACTTACCTTCCATAACCAAGATAATTTGATTAAGCAGACTTTCTGGAGTTTGCTCAGCAATCTCTAAAGCAACAACCTGAATTTGGGATGACTGCTTGATTTCTGACTCCATTGTTTGCCAGTCGTTCATGAAGAGGTCAATCTTCTCTTTAATTGTTTCCATTTCTGGTATATCTAGCAAATCATTCTCTTCAAACTCAGGCAGCATGATTTCTGAAAATCAAATCATGTACAGAAGTTGATGCTCAGATTAGAACTGAATATCTCTCTGTCTTCTCTTGTGAACTGCTGAAGCCACAAATTTCACGTTTAATTTTCCAAAATAGAGCCTGGTCAAAAAATGCTTGGTTAAACTACCAATGAAGCTACTGTCTGAAAGGAAATATTACTGCTGTCCCCATGCCCCTGGCTGCCATGCACCTGAATGGGGCAGCGCCACAGCCCTGCCCATGCAGCCATATTAAATACTGCTAGCAGCTCCTGATGTGCTGTCTCCAATGTGAATGACAAAACGTTATTGCAATTGAGCCGTTTTTAATTAAGAAGTTAACAAATAAGCATTTAGGCAAGTATTTTTGTGGATCTTTTACGGCAAAGAATAATTAATGCAATTCATCTCCTCATTTTACAGCTTGAACAGTACATAGATATTAGCCGGACATCTCAGTGGCTAACCCTCACTCCATTTGAATGATTATTAGTCCAAAGGTGCAAGCGGGTATATCTTCAAGCAGAAACACCTTGCAGACTTCACATAGTCTGATCCACAATTAGAAGTGAATTATTTTCTTGAAAACGTTTATGACTATTTGCTTTTTACTAAGCTAAATGCCCATGACATCACATTTGTTATTCCCTGCAATGACACTGCTCTCTACTTCTGTGGTTCTAAATAGGAACATGAAACTACCTCCCTTTTTATGTTCACTAAAATACAAGTTGTGCAAATGCCATAGTTAATTATGTTTCAGGCTGCAGTGATGTATTCCAAATGAGGTAGAGAGATAGCCAGGTGACATCTGTATAAATTTGAGCAGCACTAATGTGTTACGTAATGATGATTCCATTAGGGACATAGACAGCAAGAAATAAGTAAAGGATACATAATTAGGTTACACTAACTGCTTCTTGCACATGTTATCCCTGGCACATTCACATTGTAGAAATCATGTGTGCTTCCTTGTGAACTATGGACCTACTCAAAGCAGTAGTGTATAGAAGATAGTAACGTGTGTTTTCTCTGGATCTAGCATTCAATAGAGCATCTTTTAGAGTTCTGCCCTTCGAAAACCTTACAGTTCTGCGTGGGTAATGAAATTTTGAAAATATACAGGCAGAATAATGGATTTAAATGAATACGCGGCATCATCTGAGACAGCATATTGAACACAGTAACAAATTCACTCAATGGAGGTCTTTCCACATGACCTTAATTTCATGAACACTCACAATTCATGCTAAATTTGGTTCTCTACTTGATACACATAATTCAGTCATATTACCTCTGCCTGAGAGTTTTCTTGCTTAAGGAAACTTATCCAGCTGTGAATGTTACATACTCAAGGAATTAACAGACTGGGAATCAACTCTTTGAAAGGGTTGATATGTGTAGGACGAGGGGAAATGGTTTCAAGTTGAGGGAGGGGAGATTTAGGTCGGACATCAGGGGGAAGTTCTTTACTATGAGAGTGGTGAGGTACTGGAACAGGCTGCCCAGAGAGGCTGTGGATGCCTCAACCTTGGAGGTGTTCAAGGCCAGACTGGATGGGGCCCTGGGCAGCCTGGTTTAGCATTGGACGTGGAGGTTGGTGGCCCTGCATGTGGCAGGGGGATGGAGATTCATGATCCTTGAGGTCCCTTCCAGCCCTGGCCATTCTGTGATTCTGTAAACAAACTGGAGAAACATTTACATCCCTAGGGAACGGGGACAATCCCAGATTGAATCTTATTAGGATAAAAACATTGCCTCCCTGGAATTTGATTTTTTTTTTCCAAAATGAGTTTTGGGGACCAAAGAGACTGAAAATACTTTCAAGCAAGGCAACTGTGCCTTTGCTATGAGATACGAGTTATAACATTCTGCTTACAGAAGTGATCTACATTAAGAAGATATTTTTAAAGAAATAAAAAACATAGCAAATAAAAACATCTTTAAAAGAATGTAGTGGTCTAAAAAATAACTGCATCTAAAAATCCAAGCATGTTTCCTGCAGAGTAGGTGTCAGTCTATCTAACTGTGCTGTTCTTAGTCAATTTCTTTTCTTTATAACAGAGGTGATGTGAGACAATTCTCCACACCCCCAAATCTGAGCTTTCACAGAAGCATCCATTCTACAGTCTCTCATACTCTGTTGCTCCCTGCCTTGTCTGCTCTTACTGAGTGTAGTTACCATAGAGATAAATGATCCTCCAAGGCTCTCTGCCCCCACATTCTCCATGTAAGTTGCTGGGAAAGGGGAGGCATTAATGTATCTTTTCTTCCAGTGTTCTGCTGGTATTAAATATGACTCGTTCTGCCCTCAGTCCATATTCAACAACAAAAAAGATGAGGAAGTTCCCATCCCAAACTGCTCTCAAACCTGTCAAAGCTGAGACAGAAGCCAGAGTGCCTTCTTTGCTAAGGATTTAATTATCAAAATAAACAGAAAGGCATAAAGTAGGATAATGCTGATACTTTCCTTCCTTGGAACTAGTATGTATTTCATTATGAATGCGTTTTCTTTTGTCTTTTTCAAACAGACCCTGTAATACACTTAATACAGACTTTCCATTACTTATAAATATATGCTACCAGATAATTTTTAGCCAATTACAGAAAAATGCACTAAGTAGGCAGCCTTATATTGCATGTATTAAATTATGGTGCTTGGAGAAAGCAGCTTTGTCTACAAATTAAGTCCATTTCTTCTAATGCATAGTGATTGAGGTGACAAAAAAAGCATTAAAAATGTGTACATTTAACATCTTGCTACTTACAGATAAATGTTTTATGCTGGATTTCTTTACTGAACTTGAATATATTCTAAAAATTCTAATAGATAAAATTTAAAGTAGTTTTAGATACTAAATTAGCTGTCCTTATTGAAGATGAGTCACCTTCAAAGCGTTTTTTGAGAGAAGGCAATTGCAGCAGAATTTTACCTCTTGCCAAAAGCAGAAAACATGATGCCATGTGAAATCTAGAACGCTGATAGCAGGAGAATGGATTATTAGGAAAAATACAGGACTTATTTCCATTATTCCCATCCAAAGTTCAAATGTAACCATTCCCATTTTTCCAGGATTCCTTGCTGCAGGGAATGGACTGGTCATTTTTTATCAATGTGGATATTTATACTAATTTGAAAATTGTCTTTAGAGCTGGAATTTGTTAAAATCACACACAGCTTTTGTGGACACCGCAGTTTGTTTCTTTCCTGGTATTTTTTTTCATTCTCTCAGTTTCCCTTTAGTTTTCTGTTGGTCACTTCATGACAGTGACTTCCTCACCGTTTTTCCCTGTTTTCACTTCATACTGTAAAAGTGCCCATGGATTTCTGAAAACTGGAGGCCACGGTAACCTGGAAATTTAGCAATCCTTATGTTGTTATTTCTGTAGTTTCCTGTATAATTAATTTAGACTGCACACGACAGTGGAAATAATGTGTTTGTGTTGGCATTCAAAATGGATAATACTGTGTACATAATATTACTTTAATTGCATTTATAAACGTTAAAATAACTTGAACTTGACTATCCCATAATAAACTTCTGTAAAAGATAAAGGTAAGGAATTACATTCACAGCCCATTTTCAAATACAGTAAAAACTTGCAGAAAAGGAAAGCATACAATTCATGATGCTAGCAAGTAAGAGAGACTAGATGTGTTGTAAGACCAACCTGTAGTTTCAGATTCTTCATTATAATCTGTAGAATCACGGGACTGTTTCTGAGATGTTTGTTCACTTTCAGATGAAAGCTGCTTATCATCATCATCAGATTCTGTGGGAACAAATAAAACCATTAGTAACTTTAACAAAACCATTGAAGGATGATAGAGGCACTGTAGAAAGAAAGATCACACTGCAAAACTTACATTTGACCGCCAGCAAAAAATGCATTAGTTCCTCTGATGTTTAAGTGTTGCAGACTGCCTGAAACATTTTACAATCTGATCTGTGTAAAGACAGACCATCTATCAGATGCTACAAAAGTGTAAAGCAAAGAAATGTATATAATCCAGTGCTTTCATATAAAAGTACTTTTCATTCAATATAAGCTATGTGATCTGTGCTATAACTACACTCATAAACATGACTGTGCAGAAGAGGGCACTTAACACGCTACAGAACAGCTCCTCTTGGGTGACAGTGCTTCAGATTTGAAGGAGGGCTTGTGCCCTGAAAGCTGGTACAATTTTTCTGATTGTATGAGTTGGCCAATAAAGAATATTACATTTTTCCACAAGCCTTGTTTGGCTTACACCTTCGGTAGCAAAACACCGTTAGTACATCTAAATATGTTAAACTACTCCAAAGTCAAATCCCATTAGACATGCACTTTAAGATCTGAAATTATGGCATTTGTTTTCATGTTCAGCTCTTTTTGGCAAATTGAATTCTTGACCGGCGCAGTATCAGGGAACTTCATATATCTCATAAACAAACACATTCTTACAAGATTAGCAGAAAATTAGCAGAAAAACTGCCACAGCCTTTAGCACATGCAAGAAAATCTTTTCCTCATTCTTTATTTCCTTTAGATATTCCCAGGGATGCTGTCAGACATGCAGAAAAGTATAAGCAAAATGAAAGATACTTTAAGGCTGACGTCACATAAACCCTCACATGCATACATAACTTAATCACAGACAATTCTTATAGAATCATAGAATCATAGAATCACCAAGGTTGGAAAAGACCTAAAAGATCACCCAGTCCAACCGTTCACCTATTCCCAATAGCTCCTACTAAACCATGTCCCTCAACACAACATCCAGCCTTTCCTTGAACACCCCCAGGGTCGGTGACTCCACCACCTCCCTCGGCAGTCCGTTCCAGTGCCTGACCACCCTTTCAGAAAAGTAATACTTCCTCATGTCCAGCCTGAATCTCCCCTGCCGTAGCTTGAAGCCATTCCCCCTGGTCCTATCACTGATGACACGAGAGAAGAGGCCGACCCCCAGCTCACTGCAACCTCCCTTCAGGAAGTTATAGAGAGCAATGAGGTGTCCCCTGAGCCTCCTCCAGGCTGAACATTCCCAGCTCCTTCAGCCTGTCCTCATATGGCCTGTGTTCCAGACCCCTCACCAGCTTTGTTGCCCTCCTTTGAACACGTTCCAGGGCCTCAATATCTTTCTTGCAGTGAGGGGCCCAAAACTGGACACAGTACTCGAGGTGCAGCCTCACGAGTGCTGAATACAGGGGAACAATCACCTCTCTGCTCCTGCTTGCAACACCGTTTCTGATGCAAGCCAGGATGCCATTGGCCTTCTTGGCCACCTGGGCACACTGCCGGCTCATATTCAGCCGAGCATCAATCAATACCCCCAGGTCCATTTCCTCTATGCAGTCCTCCAGCCACACCGCCCCAAGCCTGTAGCATCGCCTGGGGTTGTTGTGGCCGAAGTGCAGGACCCGGCATTTGGCCTTGTTGAAACTCATCCTATTGGCTTCAGCCCAGCTCTCCAGCCTGTCCAGATCCCTCTGTAGGGCCTCGCTACCCCCAGGCAGATCCACACTTCCAGCCAATTTGGTGTCATCTGCGAATTTACTGAGGGTGCACTCGATGCCCTCATCGAGGTCATCAATAAAGAATTGAAGAGGTCAGGCCCCAGCACCGACCCCTGGGGAACACCACTCACGACCGGTCGCCAGCTGGATTTGACTCCATTCACCACCACCACCATTCACCACCACTATTCTTGAAACATCGTTGGAAATAGTACTGGCAGAGAAATTGAGCATGTCTGATTTTCAGAGTGTTTCTGAGTATTTGAGAGATTTCATTTACAAGATTGGTGCTATACAGGAACAAGAAAGAGATGGACAAACATTATACCAAGTTAGTTGAGAAAATGTTCTTTTTCTCATACGTGCTAAAAAAGTCACATAGGCTTGTGCTCCTTCCTATGCAGAAGGAATGCAGCTGCACTGTCTCTTAGCCTTTATTTATCTGAATAAGAGACTGAAAAAATTTAAGAATTGAAGATGATATTTGGAATCCAATTTAAAAAGTTGCTTATGTCTTTTCTGCTTGAAAATCTGGAATTGCTCCACCTAAAGCACTGTTATCATGCTGATTAGACTAATTGTGTCCAGCTTATGAAGGAGACCAGAAGGCGGCTTTGAAGAGAGTGGAATATTTCTCAAAGACTGAACAAACAATTCCTGTGAATTCAGTATCACTACAGCTTGCTTTGAAGTTGGTGGTACAACTGTATTGCTATTCCTCTATCTACGGACTAATAAATTATCCTTGTTCAGTCTCTATGCTTATTGAAAAGCTTCAATTTAGAGACAGAGAAAAATTTAACCAGGAAGTAAGCCAGCCAAGAGAAACAAAGCAAGTGTATTTACAGGCTGTATAATAAGGCATATATCAACTCTTTGGTAAATGCTTTAATTATAACTGAATCCACAAAGCATTTCTCTTCAAAGACTGGAGAAAAAATATCCTAAAATGCTACAGATACATAGCTCAGGCTTCATTACACTTATTTCTGTTGTTTTTGAAAATGTCTTACTAAATATAATATCACAAAAGGATTAAAAAGCAAAAACACAGTTAAGAGCTAAGGAGATGGACATTGATTTAATCCTCCACCATCTGTAAGGTGAGAAGAGAGATGGATCAATAGTACAGAATCACGGAAGGGCTGAGGTTAGGAGGGACATCTAGGTCCACCTGGCTCAACCCCTGCTCAAACCGGGACACCTAAAGCAGGGTGCCAAGGCAATCTTTGAAGATGTCCTCAGCACAGAAATTCTTCCTGATGGTTTATTCTAGCTGTGACTGAGGCATAGGCATAAATTTGCTCCTTTGGAATCTGCGGTAATGAGAAGATAATTTCCAGCAGAAAAGCAAGGCTGATGATAAAATACAGAAAATAAAGCCCTAAATGATGACAACTGTTTGCTTTAATGAACAAGATCAGTTGTGTGGAGTATTTTATTGCTAAAGCATTGTAGGAAACAAGTGCAACAAATTTAATCTCCAGAAGGCTGGAATGAACCCGCATCCCTCTGCCTCTACTGAAGCTGTGTAATTATTTTACAATGCCCAAAGTATATTCCCTTGAAGTTTAATAGCTGTCTTATGGTACATACTCACACAAAGCTGCTGAAAAGTGTATAAACAATATAAAAACTCCTGAAAGTAATTTAAGCTGGAAACAATGAAATGTGAAAAAGATAAGGGGCCATGGTTTTCAGCTAGGCATTACAAGCTAGAGTTACTGACTATTTTCTATGTGCGTGCACACATGTGCTTCATTGGCACTTTCAGCATTGAACTTGACTTCCTAACTCATTTAAATATATTTCATAAATTTACACAGTCCTAGGTACTTTTAGTCTCATTAAGAGACAGGTAAGTACCTTGCTCATTACTTTTTCTTTTTAAACACAGATAGTATTATAAATCTGAATATGTTCAATCCTAAAGCAAATCCCAGTTAATTCAACATCCTGCTGATGTTACAAAGATTGAAATTACTGAAATACACACTTACATGACATCCAAAGGGCACAATTGCAGCTGCAGAGTAGGTTTTTTCTAATTCTCATCTTTATACCATAATTACCACAAAAAACAACTGTGTATAATTCATTTATATTTATATAAAGACATGTCACATGGGAGAAAAGCTGCAGTCAATGTGCTGATGGCACTACACGTGAAATAAAAGATGTTAGGCTAAGAGCAACAGGACTGAAGTGCTTTGGTGAGTCAGTGTTTGATTACTGAAATCAACTGCAGGTGTACAAAAACATGATTTTCTCTGGTCGAGGACTTATCACATGTTGATAGCACAAGTGTATTATGTTATTACTTCTATCATTAATAAATTACTTCTATCATTAATAATTTGTTTTGATGTGCACAGCTCTAAATAAATTTTATATTAAAACTAAGCTGAACTCTGTTGTTTGAGACAATATAGGAACCCTTTAGTACTCTTTATATTTAATACTTTAAATCCATTCACTCTGAGGAAGAGCTGTTTTTATGGAAATTAGTGTAAGTTACATAGTAGAAATCTTTTTAAATTCATATTCAACTGAAAGAACCCTAAAAAGCTAAAGTACTTTGGCAGAGAGTAAGTAAATTGTTACATAATTAAAAATTAAAAGCTACTAACTTCAGTATATTTAGCATTAGTCCTTGTTTATATATTAAAAACCATTGACAATAAGTAAAATAAATGCCAGACTGGATAATGAAAGAACAAGTATATGAGATGTACTGACAATACAGAAGTTTGGTCGTAATCACTTTTGTCCCAAACCAGTATATATTACTTGAAAGGAAGATAAAAAATTCTAGCATGCACTTCAGCTTTAATTCCAGATCCAGCTCTGGTGATAATTTAGTCTACTAGGGACATCACAGCAGAGAAAGAAAATCCTCTTAAGTCTCCAGTCTCATTCTTAACATGGAAGCAGATGCTTGTGCACAGAATTTCATCTTGACAGCAGATTCAAATCCAACAAAAACATTCTCCTAAAGAAGTTGGCAGTGATTAAAGAAGGCAAAAAGGAAAGTTCAATCTTGCAAGTTTTTATTTATTTATTCATTTTAACTACTGAAGTCAAAAAGCACTGACACTAAACAGAATTAACTCTAAATTTTAACCTGACTGACAATTGTCTGCGTGCCAAAAATCCACCTTGTTTGTGACAGTTAACCTGCCTCCAAAATCTCATTCCTCACACAGTACTCATTCTTGACCAGGACAATTATATTCTCATTATTAGAAACAAAGCATAGCATAATTCTCATATAAAGAAGAAAAGTTATAGAAATAATGAATGGCAAAACAAAAATGTGTAGCTCTGCTCAATACAAAAAGTAGTAAAAATAGAAAGTCTATACTCAAAACAATAAATTATTAGGAACTTCATGTAACTCACATTTCTTTCCTTTTTTTTTTTTTTTCCCCCCTTTCTTAATAGTTAGGTTACGTTATGGAAAGCTAATTTCCATAAGCACAAATGAGTGGAGGAATGATAAAGAGACTGGGGAAAACTGATTATTAATCAGAACAAACATAACCCCAACTCAGCTTCCCTCAGGGTCATTGGAAGAAGATGATGAAGGCATTGTCTGGGCATAAGACCCAATAGGCAGTCCAACCAGAGAGGCTCTTCCTGGCTAAGAGAGGGAGACTACAAGCAGGAGGACCAACATTTTAAACCGCCTGATAGTGACAGGACAAGGGGAAATGGCTTTAAACTAAAAGAGTAGGTTTAGGTTAGATGTTAGGAAGCAATTCTTTAGCAGAGGGTAGTGAGGTGTTGGCACAGACTGCCCAGAGAAGTTGCGAGGCTGGAGGTCACATTGGATGGGGCCCTAGGCAGCCTGAGCTGGGGGATGGTAACCCTGACCAAGGCAGGGGGGTGGGAGTGGATGATCTTTAAGGTTCCCTCCAACCTAAGCCATTCCATGATTCTGTGATACTCCCTAAAGGGGAGTGAGATTCACTAGGAAATACTAAGAACATCAGTTCAAGATACTGAGACTCATAATGTTATGTGGGGTATTTCAAAAAAGCACAAAAGCAAGAAAAAGAAGGGATCAAAGCAGACTGGGGAAGAACAAGCATGGATAAGATGTGAAGGGGATGAAAAGGAGATTGGGAATAGGTACTCAGACTCATTTCTAGCTGGACCTGGGGCCATGGAGCTCAGCAGCCTCACCTATAGCGAGTTATTGAATTTGGCAATTTGTAACATACGTTGCTACTGGATTCAGCAATTCTTAACACATGCTAACAGACCCACTACTGAAATAATTTCAGTTCCCCTTCTACTGCTTCAGGCTGAGCTTTCTGGAGGCTAGCACATTTCACCATTTTCTGATGAGCTGTTTGCTAAATTCTAACAATGTTTTCTAGCTAATACAGATTTTGAGTTTGAAGTATGAAGATAATTAATAACCTACTTAGAATAAGTTACTAGACAGGAGATGGAGTTCTGCCCTTCAGATTTATTGAAAGATAACTGTGCTGATTGATTTAATATACATCTCTATTCTGCAGCATCCATTAAGAACATTACATAAAAATGAGTGCCCAAATTAGCGAAGCATCTACAGATAGAAATACAAAATAATTTTTCTAGCTGCAGAATGTAAAATAAAAATCAAACCTGTAAGATCTGCATGAATATGAATTTGCTCAATCATTTGAAACACAGACAAAGTCAAGTGATAAATGCTTTCACCTTTCTCCTCAGCATCCTCTTGAGACTGCTCTTCTTCCTCTGGTGCCAGCATTTCCTGCATTTCCCTTCCATAAGTGAAAGATTATTAATCATAGACTTATATAAAGATTACTGAATAAAAATAAAATAAAACAAAAAAATAAAATAAAAATCAAATCTAAAAATCTAAAATGTTACTGTACCATTGTAACAAAAAGGCTGATGAAACTGAATTTAGCAAACCAATCTTTTGCCATGTAGGTATTAACCTAAAAAGATATCTCTCAAAGTTAACCCATACTTGATTATTACATACCCACCAGGACTATGCTTAATATACTTTTTTAGTGCACTTGTGTTGATCGATAAATGCACTGATACTTTCAATACAAAGCAAGGCTGGAATTTTCTTGTAGTAATTTCAAATGTTCCAAGACTGAGTATTTTACCTTTCCTCTTCTTCTTTCTTTTTTAATGCTTCATCTGCTAGTCTTCTCAAGATCTTAGAATTAATTTCATCCTTATTTGCTAAGTATGTTCTGTGTAATATACAGCCTCCTGCAATACAATTATATAACAATAATTAATTGTATGTAGCTGGACCAGCCTGAAATTCTTTGATCTATAAAAGTGATAAACAACTCTATGACTTCTTTTTAAAGCCTGGAAAAAGTATACACACCAGTGAAATATTATAATTCTGCTTCCTAAGGTGTTAGAGCTTTGTTTTCAATTTCAAGCATCTAATAAAATGAGTCTGGGATACAAAATAGTTATGATTAAGATTGTAAGGGAATAGAGCACTGAGAAGATTTATCTTATACTTCCATGTATCATTCATTACTCTGGCATTTATTTTGTTTGGATGCGTACAAAGGAAACTATGAAGAAACAAATGAAAAACATTCAAATAAAGATAGAAAGATTACACATACATATACCACTAAAGCTGGTTGACAGAAAGGAAGAATATGCTGTTCATACCAGGAGCTCTACTGTTTGCTCTTTGGCAAATAGATTTATGATTGATGGCTGTGTGGCTGAAATTCATTTCAATCAGTTCAGCTATGCTAATTTAGGTTACCGCAGGGAGCACTTTTACAAAGTAGTGACTCAAAATACTGCAGAAAATATAAACTCCAGTACTACATTATTATTCAGTGACAGAAAGAAGTGAGAATCAAATCAAGATTTAATAAATAAGTCACCCCAGTGAAAAAAAAAAAAAAACAACAAAGCTGAATTCAAGAGAACATAGGTATAAGCAAAAATTTTCAGACAAGTCATATAGCAGATATAACGAACGTGGGTCTTTGACCTTACTCATTCCTTCCATATCTCATGTTTTCATTGTTCTCAATTCAAGTAAAGAAAAATATCAATTTTTAAGTAAGTTTGAGTTATTTAACTGTTAGGAACATTGAGTCTGCATCCATTTGAAGTAGATGATAATTTCATGTGTATGGCATTACACAAAATTGATTCTTTCAATTAAATAAAACTTCAGAAAATGGAGGGTGAGTAAAGGGCATTTTCAAAACGTAGTTTGAAAACTCATATTTAGGTAATTCTGCCTGAATAGTCTTAAAAAAAAAAAAAAAAAAATAGCAAGAGCTTTCAGTGGCCTTACCTGGTGGCCCAGGCATGCACTTCGCCACCCTTGTTTTCTCAAAGTGTTATGAATAGCAGCAATGCCAAGCAGTATTAATTATTCCATATGTTATGGAATCACATATGGACATCTACAGGAATCATAATTACTGTACTATTTATGACTCTAGAATTCCAACCATTTTCTATTCTTTGGATACCAGCATATGTTGTCCCTCACTCAAAGAAAGAATATTATTATAGCTGATAAATTATTTCAGAATTACTTGATAAAATGGAGCAAGTAGCTAATAAGCCTTTAGAATAACTGATAATGTTAGCTATGTTTCAAGTGGCTGATCTAGGAATACCTATCAGTGGCATCAACCATAAATAAGCTTGCTAACAGAACAGGTTCTTAGACAGCTGATCTGCTTCTGGTTGATAGATCAGTATTCTTGCAGTGTCCTGTTTTAATGCAATCTGGAGTCTGCTATGCAAGTATTGCATTTCACTTTGAATTGTTATGGTAGACTACAGATAATATGTCTTGTATTCAATTTGCACATTGCTTGTTTCAAACTGAGACAGTAAAAATATAACTTTTATCATTTAAAATTAATTCATTTCCTTTCACCCCTGAATGAAACTTTGAGGAAAAATAAAACTGACATTGATTTATATAAAAGTCTGATACAGTTCCAGGTATGAAATTAGTCTATAGTTTCACTATCAACTCAATAATTGAATGATAGATTTCCTTCCAAGCTTAAAATCTACTGAAATGTACAACCAAATGGAACATACAACCAATTAAGAAAGCAGTCTTTATTGCTATGTGATATAAAAACTATAACAGTGTTAGTTCAAACAGGTAACATCAGAGTTGTGAGCATAAATTTTGAATTTTAATGTCTCACTTCTAGATGGGAAGGCTTATACTTAGGTTTTAAAGAATCTGCCAACTATCTGACTGGAGAAACAGAAGGTCATGGCTTGCTTGAATGTAAAGCACAGAAATGAAGTACAATAAATAAAGATCGTGTAAAATACAGAATCTAGAGTTAAATTTTGAGAGCTAGTGGCAATAGCAGGGGAAAAAAAAAAACCAAAAACAAAAACACTTCAAAAGCCCTAGAGAGATCTTAATTTCATTTGAAAGCCTCTGCAATGGACCGCAAGTCTGCCCTTCCTAAAAGGAAAATAGAAGGGCAACTATTATTGACTGGTATCAATATGGTTTCCAAGATGAGTTATTTACTCCTAAAATCTCTGATGTAGAATAATGACTATTAGTGAATCTTCTAATTTACCTAGTCAACACATTAAATGGTTCAATTCTGAGAAGTGGAGAACAAGTTAATAATTTCAAAAGCATCTATCCCACCTCAGTTTTCCCCACAGAAAAGGTTAAAACTGTACTGCTGTTTGCAGTTTAGTATTAACTAATCACACATGCTGTTAACATTACATCGTGTTGTTCTGCTTGTTATTGTAAATATTAACATTAGATTACTACATGACAGCTACATAAATTAAGGTGCTTTTTTATCATTGAAAGAAAGGACAACACACAGCATCCCAGAAACTACATTCGTAGTTGTTTTACCATTTTTGAAATTTCCAGGAAGCAAAGATCAAGCAAAGGGTAATACATCCTGAAGTTCCCTCTAAGCAGTTCTTGAGTAAAAGCAACAGCAAATGGGATTTGCTAGCATACAGAGGACCTAGAACGTTCTTGTTTAAGTCTGTATTTAGTAAGTACAAGCATACCTTCAAAATACCTCAAGTAGGCAAAGATCTCTAACAAGATACCCTTAACCCCACTGTCAACCCTTAAATGAGGTCTGGGAAGGTGTGGATACTGGCTCCACCCCTCCCGGTCACTCAGGTTCATTGCATATACTTGAGCTCCTTTGCGTTGGCTCCTTCCACCAGGTGCTCAATCACTGTTTTAATCCATGACTTAGCATTTCTGCTACAGTTAAGATGTTTAAGAAGTTATAACATTTCACAAGTCATTTGAGTACTGTAGCTGAGTTGTGAAGATAAGATGAATAAATTGTATACACTTGATTTGTTCAGGGACAAGGGATTGAAAGGCTCTCTGGACCAATTCTCACATCTAGCTATACACTAAGTAGGTGGAGACATGCCTTTCTTAAAGAGCAGTTCTTACTACTGAAAGACATTTTGATAATGGATTGGGTTGAGCAAGCAATGATTATAGAAATTGTCACTGGGCAATGAAACTTGCTGTGTGATATAAATCAATCCATTAAAACACGATTTGGCAAGCAAAACTTATAATAATACATGAAACTGTTTAGTTTTTCACATGTGGTAGCAACCTTCCTTCTTGCTTGAAACCTCAAAAGTAAAATCTCTTCATCTCAATTCATGGATATTAAGCAATTGTATCAAGCTGGGTAGGAAGTTCCTCAGTTGTTTTTGTCATCAGGATGGAGAACAAGGTACGCCTGCATATAAGTACTCCCCACTTTTCTCTTAAGCAGAGGAAGTTTGTAACCCATAATCAGTTTTTACAAGCAGGGTAAGGAAAGCACAGGCAGAGAAATGTGGCTAAAGTCACATTACAAACTGATGGCCAGTCAGACAGAGAATACAAAAGTCTGCAACAGAAAGTCTGTGAGAGTCCAGTGCTACTTACTAGTAGTGCTGATTGTAAACAGATTTGTATGTAGAAGAATACTGCTTTTATAAAGTATTTCTGGTTTCGATTCTGTTAGTTCTCTTAATCTAAATTGTAAGAAATCTGAGGTAGACTCCAAAACTTCATAAATGGGCCACAATTACCATTTTTTAATTGAAAATGTGCTTTATGTACAAATACCAACACAGAAAAGAGAAAAGGTTAAGTTTCATAAGTGTGCATTTACTAACCATCATTTTCTGTATCCTTAAGACAGACAACAGTGTCAGGCAGAAGTCCTCTTTCTGACAAAGCTGACCAGTGACCTTCTGAGAGAGGATAGTTATCCACTACCCATCCTCCTTTTTCTGGAGCACCAGGAAACCTGTCTTTGTTCTTCTTCATAAGCTGTTATAAAATGTCAGGTTCAGTAACAGAAGAAGGCTAATACAGACTGTGAGATCTTTCAGAAGACTGTACAATACAAGACTTCCTAAATGTTATCACTCTTAGTTTATTAGTAACATCATGTCAATAAAAAGACATTTATAACTTCATATATATGAGTTCAATAAAAACATTTTAAACAAAGACAGATGGATGTATCAATCATTTTCTAGGGCTACCTATAAACAGTTTAGGTTCCAATTTCAAGACATACAAACTAGTGCACGAATTTAAACCTATTCAAGATTCTAGGAGAACCTCCAAATGAAATTATTTTCAAACACTTTGTCTGATGTTGAGATCTTAGACAGAGACTAAATATGTAAGAATGGGGTAAGTATACTGTGATACTTCCCTGAGAAAATTCTCCCAGTCTATGACAGCTTGTAGCCCAGAAACTTTACAAGATATAGGCTAATACATACATATTATTTTTATACTAGCCTTCAATAGATTTGACTGTCATGCTCTTACTCAATCTCTAATGAACTCAATATAAGCTTTCAGACTATGTGACCAATCTTACAAATTATAAAATTAAGAACATGTATTAATAATGTCTAAAATATTACAGACTCCTCTTGCAAAGAAAGTGCTTTCCTGTGTAGCACTTGTAGTTTTACCTCTGCAATAGCTCTCTCCAGTATTTCTGCATGTATTTCAGGTGACAACATCACTTCAGATTTTGATGCCCTTTTCACAGCTTCTTCCACCACCGCTTGAACTTCTGGGTGGTCAGCAGTTAACTCTGACATTTCTAACAAAACAGATTTTTTAAAGCACTTCACAATTTTCGTATTTCTCCTCTGATCAGGAAGAACTACTAGGCAATGAAATGCAATCACAGCATCAGTACAGCGTAGCAGTCACTGTAAGCAATATTACAGAATAGTATTGTAAAAGAATCAAATAGTCTCTCTGGAAGCATTTCTGGGGGATGTCCTATAATGATGAGTTATAGGATCTTTTAAAATAATTCTCCTGTTAAAAAAAAATCTTTAAATTTTCCAGAGTTTTTTATTACTAAGTAAAATATTAAATATGAATATTTATTGTACTAGAACAGTAGAACAATCAGGCAGTACCAGAGAATTTCTTTTGATTTGATTTCTCTGATTCCTAAATCAAAACTTTGACCAGAATAATTTAAAAATTGATACAAATCATAATTCAAGTCAGTATATCAATATTCACATTGGATTCATATTTTGTTATTAATGGCTGAAACAATGGACTGCAATTGTTGAAATTTTTCAACAATTTTTCAACAACAACAACAAAAAAATTTCAACAAAAATCAGGAAAAAAAGTCATATTTACTCCCTGTAATGATGTCAATATTTTTCAGTGATTGTATTGTTGTTTTTACATGCACAACTTTACATGTTGTTTTTGCTGCTTTAATTTGTGTGGAGTTTTTTTCGAGTTACCAGCTCCTTGTGGAAGAGACATTATCTTTCTAAGTGTTTCCAATCTGAAAACAAGCAAACAAAATCCACAAAACCCAACCAACCACAAGAAAAGAACAGATTTTACCCTTATCATTGCTAAAGATACTAAACTCTGTTTCTCCATGCAAAGAAATTGATATTTCTTCAGTAACCTCTTATATCTTTTCCTGTTAAAGCACACAGAAGTCAAAAGAAAAGCATGACTGAAGGAACAATTGTTTTTCTTTAAAAAGACAAATTTGTAAAAATAACCTCATATTGCACATTTATTTCATTTCCATTTTAGATCCTTATAAATATTTTAAATCAACATCCATTAATTGGATCTATCTAATAAAGCTTCCTTGCTTCAGATGAGATGCCAGTCTCATTTGTACGAAAATAAAACCCAGTATATATAAACCATGTCATGTTTAAAATCATTTGTTTTACTATATTTCAACAACATAATTAAAACTCAGCATGCTTTTAAGTTTCTCACATTAAAGGGACAAAAATTCACATTCTTAATTTCAGTCCTCTCTTAATTTAGATGTTTTGTGTGTGTGTGTGTGTGTGGCTGTACACCTATTCCCTTATCAATCAAACAGTTTCCAATGTTCTTATGCTATAAAAAGACAAAATGTAAATGAAAATGCCAAACTTATTATCAGATCACTTACTTAGCCCCTACAAAAGTTACTGGCTTTTTTTTCCTTACACTAATAATGTATTAATAAGTTAACTAATCTAGATATGACAAAATTAATAATTTCTTTTTAGGCTTCTCAAAATAAGCAAGAAGGAAAAAAAAATGAAATAGTCCTACAAGTGTAAGTGAGGAGAACAAGATTATCTTTCATTTTTTAATTGGCAAGACACTGTGACGACATGGAATAGCATGCTTAGAATACCTAGGATTTACTTTTTACCTTCTGGGATGACAGCAGATTCTTCTGTACTGCTCCCCTCTTCAAACCTCTTTTTCACTGCTGTTACAGCCTTTTCTATTGCATCACTCCGTATTTGCTCAATGTTTTTTTCTCTCAATTCTTCCACATGAGATTGAATGAGTTCAGCCATATCAAGAACCTAGGGAAATTATTTGAAAAAACATAAATAGTACAGAAGACACATACAAGATCGGACCCACCAACTATACAGTGAAAGGAATTTGGAAAAACTCTGCAAATTTCAAAAAAATTTACATATAATTTAAGTGGGTTCTTCATGTGTGCATAATATATTTTCTAATTTGTGATTACATTGAATTAATTTATACATGTCTATATATTCGTAGTATTCTTTTTCTCAGATAAATAACTGACAAATGTTTGTGTGACACTGACGAGAAAAATATGTACTTTTTGTAAATGAATTTCACTGAATTACCATTTGCATAATATGTCTGCTTGCAGTATGTTTGCTAAAGTTTGCTGTACGTATGTTAATGACACAACAAAAAGAAGAATGTATTTAACAGACTCCTAAATCTCAGCTGATAATTGTGTTACATAAAACATATGTAAACCTACCTTTCCTTTGTATTTGCTTGCAATTAGATTACAAATAGTGGTTTTCCCTGACACTGGAGGACCAAATACTAGAACTTTACAAGGAGGCATTGGCATTGGTGGTAACAAGTAAGGGCGTGGATTCAACATAAATGTTTTCAGTGCCTCTGGGGATGACAGCGTGTACATTTTACCTAGAAAACTTAAAATGGAAGAGAAGAAAACAAATTTAGACAGCTGTCTTAAAAAAACAGAAATAAAAGTAAGTGTCAAATGCCACTCACCTGACAGCCAAATCTGGCATTCCCATTACAACATCACCCTTCTTTAGAGCCACAGGACATACTTGTCCCCACCTGCTTCTACGCCATCGGTATCTGGGTGCTATTAGCTCGAATGATGACAGAACACGGAAAAGCTCATCCTGTTTATTAAAACAGAAATAAGTGCATATGCAATTTTTGCCTGAAGTGATATGGGCCTTGTTGTATGAAAATTAACTTTATGCAGTACTTTACTGGAGAGCAAGCAAATCTAAACAGAAAATTAAATCATGCTTTAAAAAGATATACATATATCAGAATCGTAGTGTGACTTTAAGGATAAACTATTCAGGTGTTAAATTTTGTTTCATCAAAAAGTACTTGAAATAGTTCCTGTAGGCTTCAATAATTATTTCCAGAAGTTTAAAAAGATAAAGAGGTATGAATAAGCCATTTATTGATGAAGACAGAAAATGGCCAAGCTTTCTTCTAAAAGGGATGAAGAAAGGACCAAAATCAGGGAATAGCAAGACCAAAATATTCCTTTTAATGACACAGAAGCATCATGTGATAAGATTAAATGTAATAGATCTATTAAAGGAGGCAAATAGTGAGTGAGTTCTAAAGTTTATGTTTACTTTAATTTACCCAGAATAGTACAGACAAGTGCTGGCTATGAAGAACTGCTGAAGAACCTTCAGAATCTATGGAGCTGGAAATTAAAATACAGTTTTACATAGAAAATAATGAGCTGTTATTGACTCTTATTGCTCAAGAATAGATCTTGAAGTTACAATACAATATACACTATTTGATCAATGCCCAACAGCAAACAGAAAAACAAACTGAATGTTTAGGAAAGAGAGAATAAAACATTTAGGTACATCTTTTACTACATAAATCCTGCTCTCCTCTTTATTGCTATGTGCATTCTATTATTCAAATCTCAAAAAGAATGCAGCAGAACTGGCGATGTTTCAGACAAAGGTGATATGATAAATGATTAACATAGAATGTATTTAATCTAAAAGAGATAAAATTGATTAATGTTTATTTTCTCCAAACAAATTATTCTTCCTTCATTCCTGAAACAGATATTTTGTTCAAAATGTAATTAAGATCACCTAACTTATTTTTATTAATTGCAGATCTTTTTTCAAAGTTTTAGGTGGATTTCAACTCCATAATTATCTTAAAGTTGCATTTCTAGATCGTGAAGCTGCAAAATATGCCCTTATTGTATGGCAGAACAAACTGATTGCAACGAAACAAAGATGTTATAGTGTAAGTTCACCACAGAAAATAAAAACTATTTTAATATTTATTGCAATCAATCACATTTCAGAAAAACACACTTACATTTTCCAGTCCTTCCAGCATTTCTTCTTGCCGACTCTGAAGCCTAATTATAGGAGCTCCATTTCGAACTCCCATAGACTGAAGTCGAATTACCACTGACTGAAAAGAAATAACTGACTCAGCACCAGTCAAAACTGCCATTGTGATCTGCAAGGGTCCCTAAAGTATTTTTTAAATTGCAACTTATTTTTTATGTAATGGCCACCTATACACCGAGATCCGATTTCTCGCTTGGAGCACTGATAGTTATTCAGAAGAGCTCTAATAAACTTTTAAAAATTTGAGTATAGGCAGTGGAAAATGCTGAATTTTATCTGCTTTATCTGCCTTTTTATCTGCTCATTGTGCTGTGAATCCCAAGCCTTGTAAAGGAATAGACTGGGAAGGATTAGTTCCTACAGAGCTGTGGAAGTTTTCAGATGAGCTCCATTCCATGCCAGGAGGATGGCAAAAGAAGGAAAATATCCTTAGGCAACCAGAATATTATGCACAGTTGAAAGTAATACAACTTTGAGTAATGTATTTAAAAAGATACTTAATCCTGCCTGCTAATGTGAACCAAATGATAATTAATTTAATTGAAATATTTCCTAAATATAATCTTGCTGGAATGCAAGAGTTCTTGAAAAGAAAAACCTGATTTTGTCCTGCATGGAATAGTTCCACAATAGTTTTTGCCTTATTCACAGGTAAAATAATTGGAAAGCATTAAACAACTTCATTGCATTTTATATAAACCTTCGGTTGTGATGTTCACAAATCATATGTGATGAAATTTCATATACTGGCTGTGCAAATGAATGTGATTTTTTTTTCTTTTCTGTATGATCCATAGGACATAGGACATGGTCAAGCATAAATTTAAATACAAAACTTCACTTAATTCATTTTGAACAGGAGAGGAGAATGTACATGAACAGCTCACCTTCTACACTGTCAAAGACAATCTCTCCCTTCATTTTCAACTCCGTATTTTAGATTCATATTTAAAGCAACTCTTACAGCTGCGGCACGCGATAAGATTATTTATCATCAAATTTTATCATTGTAATTTTTAATAGGGAGAATAAGTTGCTGAGTTAAAAGCTAAGAAACTAAATACAAAGACTCATCAGAACTGTCAAAGGGAAAATAATGAAAGTCTGTAAAGCACTGTAAAACACTGTAAAGCAGTATCAAAGATCATAAAAATTCTGTCATCATTTCAGATACCAGCACATTAAGCCAGTTCTGTAAGTATATCATACCAAAAATGTTTTAATTTCACATGCTTGTAATTATTCTTGAGACTAATACAAGCTATAAAGCATTAAAAAGGGAAGGATAAAAGTGTTTGTGGTCTACCTGAAAATATCGCCCTGTACCAGACACGAAAGCCTGGAGCTCTGCAAATTGTGTAGTTGTTTTACAGAGCAATAGAAGTACACATTTCAAAGGTGATGCTTTTTAATAATGATTAGGTGAGATTTATGCTGAACATAACACATTTGTTAACATCTTACGAAAGCAAGCAATCCACAGAAATGAGAAATTAATTGCTAGTGGAAATTGATAAAGTTGGTACATAGCTTACTTACAGCAAGAAGTTCATCTGGTTCCTGATTTCCATCCAGTTCAATAAGATTCTGTGAATCCTGTTCAGCCATCAAATCCTGTTTAAGAACAAAGACATTCATCATCTGAGTATAGTTAACCAGATAATCACACTGAAGCTCATTTTGTTCCTGTAAGTATCCAAGCTTGAACTACTGGGGATTTCAGTAAAATCAAGATTCATTGAACTGATGTCTTAAAAAATCTCAGGATTCCAGAATAAAATCAACAATCAGATATGAAAATTTTGTACTATTGATTTCAGTATGTATTTCAGAACTTGGGGAAATGTTGTAGCATGCCTTGTGCTCACCTCCATGAAATGTCTCAAATAAAAACAAACAAACAAACAAACAAACAAAAACTGAAAGTATTGTATGATATTTTAAACAGTCTTTGGTTAAGCATCATCCTGATGTTTTGGTTTTTTTCCTTACTTCTAAAGAACGAAGCATTGTATCCTTATACAAGCAAACTCTTTCCTTTATATTTTCAAGCATATCTTCAGGCCTTTGCACTAACTGATGAATCATTTCTGGCATTGTAAGTGAATCTTGCACAGTCTGAGGAAGCAAAAGTTAAATACTTCAATGTAAAGAAATGAAATAATGTACTAAACTAAATTTTGTCTACAACCAGAAGTAAATATAATAATTCTCTGGAGTACTTCAATGAGTGATCCAACCTTTTAACTTAGGGCAAGAAACATTTCAGTGACTTGTAAGTTCAAGGCTGACTCTAGGTTGAGCTATACATTAATCAGCATTTGCTGTTATTTAAACCTATCGTTTTAATTTTAATTTTATTAACCTATCAATTTAATTTTAATTACTCCACATTGCTGAAAGAAGAACAGAAACTGAATTAAGATTAGAACTCAGCAAAATTGATCTAGTATGGTGATATTTTAGAATGTCGGAATTTGTTCTGCTTTATCTGCAGTACATTTTAATACTTTACACTCTTTAGAAATTATTATTACTTACCTCTTCTTCCATCTCTTCAACTTCAACTTCTTCATTCTCCTCTTCAAGCTGATCACTATTTTTCCTTTGTTTTTCTATAAGATTAGGATCCCACTGGTTCCTCTGATATACTTGCCCTGAATCAGGGCGTTGCCTTTGTCCTGATATTCTTTGGCATAAGTCATAGTCTGAATACTACCAAGGAATATGTAAAAGGAAATGTATTTAGTGTACTGCTATAATCATATTATGCTTCCTAAACCTGGAGAATATGGGGAATGGGAAACTCTTTGGCAAATATTTGAATTCTTAAACTTCTTCTCTAACACCTTCTAAGCAAATAAAAACATTCACCGACAGCAAAATTACTTGGGGCAAAAATAAAATATTTAGTAAGTTTTTCCCCTTCAGCATTTTACATTTTGTATCAGCAATTCAGCTACTACTTGAACACATTTTGCCATATTAAGTAATTTTCAGCTGTAGTTCAGGAATAACTCACTTGCAGACAGGCTTCTGACTGCTCTTACAGTCAGTGCTAAATCAATTTTAGTAGGCACCTCTGACCTTGTAGATCTTTACTCTTACCAAAAATATAGTGCTATTGTCTCAGAGGTTAAAGATTTTCAGCAATTTGAAGCTCTGGAAGAATAAGCATGTTTTTTTTTTGCAAAAATCCCTGCAGAATATATTAGTTTAACATTAGACACAGATCTTGTGGTTGGTTTAACCTGGCAGGCAGGTAAACATCACACAGTTCTTTGATCACTCCTTCCCACCCTCCCAAATGGAATGAGGGAGAGATGTGGAAATGAAATAGAACTATTTGCTATCAACACTGTCGTGGCAGAAACCAGGGCAACGAGTAAATCTGGATGTAGCCTTAAAAAATTGATATCTTAAAATTCTACCATGGAACTGTATTTGGAACATGATAATTTTCCTTCCCTTCTGAATTACTAAAATTTATCTTTCAAACATGAGTGAAAAATCTGAGATGACAAGAAAGCAATGCAGTCAATGAATTCAAAAGGCGACAGAAAAAGGGATAATTGTTTTCTACAGAGGAAGACAGAGTTTCTGATCTCACATATCAGCTAGCGAAAGGCATACTACACAACCACCTAAGGTATCCCTTGAAATACAACAATACTTCAGCATATTTCTATATTTCTGCTCTAAGAGACATATGGCCTTCATAAGCTGCCATATGACATAGCACATCTTGAAATAGGGAAGAACAAATTTGGTCAGATATTTTTTCAAAGGTTTTCTGTTATTTTTCTAGGAAAACAAAGCTTCTCTAGATTTGTCTGTAACAACAGTACTTGATTGTTCTAGGGTAATCTACTATGCTCCTTCTTTCTTCTTTTTTTTCTTTCTTTTTTATTTTTTTTTTATGTAATGGAAACAGTTACCATTCTGACATGTCTGTGAATACAGCTGAAACACTAAAATTGAAGGCAAAATTTTTATTTGAATTTGGGCCAAAGATTTTAATGAACATTCAGTCTCAGTCTTCTTTTCAGAAGAGAAGATGATGTAAGAACACAAAGTAAATAATTCTGTTTTATTAACTGTGGATGGAATCACTCCTCTATTTGTACTACTCCACGTGAAACCGAACGATATGAATTTTCAAGAGCTGGAGTTCCTCACTATCTGGTATTAAATAAAAGATTGACCTCCTGTAGTAGAAAAAAATAAAAGCAAACGGGAAAACAGCATAAAAATATATTTCTCTGGTCTTTTATGATCTTTCCAAGAGAATAGAAAAAAAAGTTTGAAATAGGTGTTCAAGCATTTTGACTATGCAAACAGATTAAGTCTGAAAAGTAAGGAATGTAAAAACTTTGTCATTAAAACACTATCTCAAACCTGGCAAAGTGACAGAGTTAGCCCATGATGAAGTCTTAGCATCTGACAAACCATGCAGATACGACAACTAGAATAAAAACTTTGGAGTACAATACCAGAGGCTCACTATTCAGTGTTGTCTCATAAGACCATTCAACACATTCAGAGTATGAGGAAAGAATCTAGTTAATAAATGAAACATTGCAAGAAGAGGGGTGTGTTCATGACTGTACATTCTTGTACAATAGGAATGCAAGAACTGTAGATTTTACTGAGTTATAGGAAATATTATTTTACATGCTTAGTGCCTGTAATAAAACAAACAAGTGGAATTCTATTCCACTATAAAAGAGAACAATTAATACCTTCTCAATAAATGCTATACTCAAAAGCATGGGAGAAAATCTGACTTATGCAGTATATAAGTCTTCTAATAATTAGGTAACTAGCAAGTTACTGAAAGTGACATTACCTTAATGTTAATCAGGAAATCTGGTTTTAATTTCAGATTTTTTATTTTCTCCATTTGCTGTGAAACAGTCATGTATTCCTCTGAGAGAGAAGGAAATCCACTGAGAACATAACCTGCAGAACACATTTGAATAAATCTTTCAGAAAGTTATGACAAATATATAAGTAGTTATACTTATCTCCTTCAGAGGTAACATCTATATAGTGGCACAATTTTAAACCATGTATATAACACTGTTAAAAAAAAATATACACCTATGTCTCCTCCAAATTAAATACATACATAAATGTATTTGTTTCAACATAATATAGGACTTTGAAAGCCTGTTAACTCAGTTGAGAAATATAAGAAACAGGTAGACATTAAGGATCATATTCAGACAATCTACTTCATGTACCTAACTCGTATTATAGTGACTAAAAGAAAATAAGCTTTTAGGGACCATTTTTTGCCACTAAAAGGCATTGTAAAAGATATTGCAAAAATAGCCACAATAACCTTTAAAAGCCATTGCTTGCGCTGGCAATAAAAGGACCCTGAACTCCTCTGTGGAATATACATAGTGCTCCTGGGTGTTAAATCCTCTCAAGAGGAGGCACTGTGCACACTATATACGTAACAACTTGGCAAACATCCATACAACCAGGATTAACAATGTTGAGTCCCTTTCAGCAAAGACACTGACTGTGCACAACAGGCATGGTGGTAATGATACATTTTCCCTAGTATTAGTATGCACTGCCCCAGAAATATTAGTACCCGTGGCTTCAAGTTCCCAGGGAAGTACTGTAACTATCAATAAGTGCATACAATACAATAACAACTCTATCATGAGGAACTCAGTGTTCATGAAGCCACAGTGAGAAACTAAAAAAAAAAAAGATGAGAATATTCTGTCAGAGAAATGGTCTATGCAACCCAAAAACATAGCAGCAGCCTTTGCTACAGCTACTAGAACTGAAGACTCCTCTCCCTTTGGGGAGCCTACAGCCACAGATGTAAAATTTATGGAAAAGCCTAAGTAAGAGAGAATACAGTGTGCAGTCATTCCTCTGGGAAACATAAAACGTGGATTCTGGTTTGTTGATACATGCAGAAGATTCTAGTAGGCAGTGAGATGCAGAAAGCTTGCACGACTGCTGCTAATAAAAACTTAGTTAGCAACACCTGACCTGAAAATAATGTGAACGTAGCATCTTATGCTACACATATGCAAATTATCCCAAACTGTTTACCCCGGGCTGATGATGCTGGGGGAAACTAACAATGAAGAAGCTTGAGTAAGACAATCATCAAACAGATCAAACTGTAAGCAGGAGATCACTAGGAGATTTTGAGAAAAGGAGAAATCAGCTGGAAAAGAAACACTAAAGAAAGATTACGATTTGAGGGAAAAGACATTAGAATGAGAACAAGGTAACAGCAGCCAAAACCAGTCTTGATTGGCCAGCGCTACCAACTTCTGTTTAGGCCTGACAGAACAGCCTCCATCATTTACAATTCATTTACATGTAAATTCATTTGCATTTTGTAAAATTCATTTACAAAATGCAAGCAACTTGCATTTCTGTATGACAGAGCAGGCTTCAACTAGCAATGACCCACACCTCCAGTGTGCATGTGGAAACTTCTGGGGATCTTTCTCAATGGTACATGGATTAGATTAGAGGAAATGGCACACATGAGGCAGGAGCATGTGTGCCATGTTTCCAACAGAAGGCACTCACACATGAGGCAGGAGCACCCACGTTTCCAACAGAATGCACTCTCAAAAGAAGGAATGTGCTTCTAATACCCACCCAACTCTGAGAGAAGGTTTGCATGCAGAACTCTGCAAGTTTAAGTATATTCAAATTTTAGGACTTCAGCAATTTGTAGGTGTTTACATCTGGGAAGTGCTTAATCTTATGATGTATCTATGGTATGGCTGACACTAAACCCATACAGTGAATTCCAGTTCACTGATTGTCAGTTAATAACTTAATAAATCAATCAACAACTTTCATGATGATTTGATTTAAATCATGCATTGAGACCAGCCCTGCAGAGAAGGTCTTGGGGGTTCTGGTGGATGGAAAGCTGAATATGAGCCAGCAGTTTGCGCTCGCAACCCATTAGGCTATCTGTGTCCTGAGTGGCATCATAAGATGGGTAGGCTGAGGGAGGTGATTGTTCCCTCCTCCTTTGCCCTTATGAGGCCCCTTCTGTAGTATTGTGTCTGGGTGTGGGGCAGGCAGCACTAGAAGGATGTGGAGTTATCCAGAGAAGATCAGAGGGATGGAGCCCTACAAAAAAAAGGTTGAGGGGGCTGGGCTTCTTCAGCCTGGAGAAGGATCTGTCCTTCCAGTACTTGAAGGGAGATTAAAAGCAGGAGGGAGACTGATGTTCTACACTGTCTGATAGTGATAGAACAAGGGGTAATGCTTGCAAATTAAAAGGGGGATTTAGATTCGATGTTAGGTGGAAATTTTTTACTCAGAGAGTGGTGAGGCAGTGGCACAGGCTGCCCAGAGAAGCTGTGGTGTCCCATCCCTGGAGGCACTCCAGGCCAGGTTGGATGGGGCCCTGGACAGCTGAGCTGGGGGGTGTCCCTGCCCATAGCAAGGGGTTGGGACTGGGTGGGCTCTAAGGTCCCCTCCATCCCAAGCTTTTCTATGATTCTATGAATTGATCAGTTTTCTCCTGTGAAAAGGACAAATAATTTTCTTTTGCAAATACTATTTAGGCTAACATGATACAAACTTGATGGTTTTCTTGTTCTATTTAAAAAAACAGCAAGCATGCCAGCTACATAAAGATTATTATTCTGTAACTTCTTACCTACAATCCTGAAACACAAGCTTGCTCATTTTTTTTTTAAGACACTTCTTATTCTGAGAAATAGCTTAACAGCTTCATATTTGCCCTCAGTAGGATCTCAAAGAATTAAACTCTGCATATGGTGCCTTACAAATTTTAAATATTACCAGTTGTTTCAGCACTTCTTAATACCTCTGGCACATCGGTTCCCCAGATAGAACGTGCTTATTTCCAAGCAAGAAGAATATACAAAGGCTGCTCTGAAAGTAATGTCTCCTATTTTGTTATGTTGGTCCACAATGTCAGCAGTGGATGCTGGTGGTACGGCAGTAGAGGTTGAACTTTCCTGCCAATATTGCATTACGTTTTTGCTGTATGACAGATGGCAGCAGAGGGGCAGTCTGACAGAATGTAATCTGACATGGAAATGCAGATGAAGCTAAGGTGGGTTATTGAATTCTTCCATGTGGAAAAATTGGCACCTACTGACATTCATAAATGCTTTCTGAGTGTTTCATGGAAACCAAACACTGGATGTGAGCACAGTGAGGCAGTGGGTGGTGCATTTCAGCAGTGATGAAAGCAACAGTGGGTCATCTCTGCTGGTGCAGATTTTTATGAGCATGGCATGCAGGCTTTTATTCATCTGGTGAAAATGCATACGTAATGGTAGTGCCTGTGCTGAAAAACATGCTTTGTAGCTGAGAATGTGCTCTATCAAATAGAGTATCAAATAGAATAACAAATAGTGCTCTTGGTATCTGTTGTAGTTTCCATGGAAATAAACAGAAGGCATTATTTCTAAAGCAATCTACATATTAAGATAATAGTTGCCAAGTAAAAAGTAGTTAAAGCTGGAAAATACTTAACAAAAATTGGTTCTAGAGATGAGTTCTAGTTACTAGAAAAAATAACGAGGACATAGTCTGTTCCACTACATCCCCATTTTGGGGATCTGTAATATAAAAAATGGCTCAGCCACAAGAGCCAAATTTGTCCATCTTATGTTTACAGTCTATAGGATTTCTGTGGTCTTCCGTTATACACACATCTTAGACATTCATCATCAGACTGAGTCAGAGAAGAAAATTCACATTACACAGACTTCTCTTAGACTTTTATTAAAGCCCTGACCTTACAGAATAATAGCAGCATTTTCATTCAAATGTCTGTTTCCCATCTTCTCCTTTTTTCTGCTTCTTCCCTATTTACCTGTATTTGCCTACTGTTCCAAAAGCCTGGCTTCACCAGGTAAGACCGCTTCTTTTGTAGAATATTGAGTCTTGGTCCAGAGAAGAAATAAAAACTTTAAAACCAAAAGCTTACTGAAACTTGCTGGCTTTCAGAGCAGTAGAAATTTGACATGTTCTTGGTAGTATACCTGACTCTTCCCTATAATGGACATTTCAAATTAAAGTCTGTGCCAAAAAATATACTACTTTCTCATAACCCAGTCTCAGTGAGAAAATGGAAAGAGAATAAACAATTGTGTAGACTTTACTACCTCACACTTCAAATAATCTTTTCCTTCTTTTTCAATATCTTAAATGTTTAAAATATTTCGCTGGTATTTATTTATATATTTATTGTTACAAAAGTATTCAAGCCAAAATTCTGTACGTTAAATCCCACAACTTTATATTCAAATGAAACTATCCCACTATCCAATGAGAGTGATTGCAGCACTTAACATTCATCTTCTCAAAATGAACTTAACATTGGATTGGAATGATGCATTCTGAACTATGATATTGGAAAAATAATCATTAAATACACTCTCTATTTGGAGATGTTCCACAACCTGAGGTGCACAACCAAAGGGCTACAGTCTAACATACCATTACATATATTTGAGCCATAAAAGATGCAAAGTTTGACAAAATTGTGGTCAGCTTATTCTTGGAAGTTCAGGCTATAAGTAGACTTACCAAAATGTGCAACTTCTGGTGACTCAATCTTTTTCAGAATCATTTCTGTAACAAGTTCTTCAGAAATACTTTGACCTTTGAAAAGCAATTCTTGACACTAAGGTAAAATGCAAAACATAGCCTTATACAATGTATATTTGCCAAGAATGAGACAAAATTTACAGTCAGATTACACTTTTTACCTTAAGCCCATATTCTGTTTCTTCATGAATATTCATTTGAATTACTTCCAAAGCTGCAGAAGCACATCAGATAGAATAAAGTTAATACAATTCATAAAATTTATTTTATATACAGATACATCAATGCAGGCACACACACATATATATACCTTCATACATACAAACACACATACATGCAATTGCTTAAATCAGCTATCTCTGTACCCTTGGGTTGATTATGATTATGTCAATGGTCAAACATTTGAAAGTGCTGCTCAGTGAGATGGTGGAGTCTCACCCCTTGGGGATATTTCACACTCAAATGGACATATCCTTGAGCAGTCTTCTCTGGTTGACACTCTAGTGATACTCTGTGATGTCTAAAGTTCCCTTCTGAGCTAAATTATGATTCTGCATGTTGAATTTTTTTCATATTCACAGTGAAAACAAGCCATTAGCAAATGTTGAAGGAAAGTGTGTGTGTGTACACATGTGGATATATCACAGTAAAAAAGATTAGTAGAAGCATAGTGAGCAAAAAAAGCTAAGATGCTGTCTGAATTTACTACTGAATTTACTACAAATAACTAAATAATGGACATGAAAATGCAGTAAGTGAGATTTACAGTGATCACTAACAAAAACTTTAAAATGACAAAGATTATATTGCCACAATAGACTGCCTAAGATTTTTAAAAAGCAACTTGGTAGATATTTATTAATACTGGTTTAAGTACATTTGAGCAATGTGGGTCGGCTTAATTCATAAATTCATTTTGAATTTAGTCTAACCTATGTTTTGGACCAGGTATTAATCAATCTCGTTAGTTAAAAATTCTATATTTACTTAGGTAAAAATTGCTTTCTTCATACTTATTTTTTTCATATTATAATCCAAAGCCTTCAAAATAAGATAAAGATACTTCATTTATATTCACACAAACATGAAATGTTACAATGTCCACTAGAGGGCTTCTATTAGAATAGTTAAAAATACTGAGGGTACACTTCAAAGAAAAAATGTAATGAAAATAGATATTGAAATGGTTAATTCATAATATCAGGGTTAACCCATCAAATCAGATTTTTATACAATTAGATGTATAATTCTGTGGTTGTCAACCCACTCTCCAATATATTTGAAAAGTCATGGCTTTCAGGTGAAGTCCCTGGCGACTAGGAAAAGGGAGACGTTGCTCTCATTTTTAAGAAAGGGAGAAAGGAAGACCTGGGGAACTACAGGCTGGTGAGCCTCACGTCTGTGTCTGGGAAGAGCATGAAGCAGATCCACCTGGAAGACATGTTAAGGCACACGCGAGATGAAGAGCTAATCTAAGATAACCTGAGGAGGCTGGATAACCTCTCCTACAAAGACAGGCTGAGGGAGCTTGGCTTATTTAGTCTGGAGAAGAAAAGGCTGTGGGGAGACCTCATTGCAGCCTTCTGGTACTTGAAGGGAGATTATAAACAAGAGGGAGATGACGTTTTACATGGTCTGAGAGTGACAGGACAAAGGGGAAATAACTTTAACTTGAAACGGGAGATTCTGGTTAGACGTTACCATCCTTTACTCAGAAGTGGTAAGGCTGGCACAGGCTGCCCAGAGAAGCTGTGGCTGCTCCATCCCTGAAGGCATTCAAGGCCAGGTTGGATGGGACCCTGGGCAACTGAGCTGCAGGCTGGCAGCCCTGTCCACAGCAGTGGGTTGGAACCAGATTGGCATTAAGGACCCTTCCAACCTCAGATGAAATTGTATCTTGTATTCTAGTGCATAATCAGAGAGCTTAGCTGTGACTTCTGAAGCAAACCATTGGGATTTTTTGTTTTAGAAATTTGAAAGTGCCAACTACATTCCTTCCATGATTTCTTACACTGATATAAAAACTATGCTTCTGTTTCTTGGAGTACATCCCTCCTCCTTGCCACCTCAATGCCCCTTCCCTCCTCCCCCCTTCCACCCCCACCCTGTATTAGGCACAGGACAAACACAGAAAGGGAAGATCCTTCTATTTTTTCATGGTTTGTTTCAGAAAATCTCTGTGCTCCCTGGACTTCAATCATCTCCCTCCACTTAACTAAAAGAATCACATGAATCCCTTTACAGGATTGAGGATGTAAGTTGGTTGTCACGTTACATGTATCTCCTAAAACAAAAGGTATAATGAATTTAATACAACGTTCCAAACATAGTGCATGTTTACCTTCTATTAAAATGCATTTCCATACTTGTGCTAGTTTTCTAGCTAATGTTTTCTTTCCAGAACCCTTAAAAAGAAAAATGTTATAAAAACAGTTAAAATCAGCCATCAGGACTGGGACTTCTGACTTATGCACTAGAAAAACATAAACATTCATTTTAATACAATTTATTTTACACTTCCTAGCATTGCTAATCATGACTACTGCCCTTTGCAGTTGAGTACCTCCAAAGTAACAGTACTAACTTTGTTAGTGAGTAATTCTGTTTAAAGCTCAGCTATGATTTGCCCATAAATTCCTGTGAGAAGCTGTAACACTGAAATTTATTATCTTCAGTCCCAAAGCAAATTATGATGAAAATCTCTTCAGTTATCTCTAAGAGACATACAGATAGTATTCTTTTACTAAAACAATGAATATATAAAAACTGCCCTAGTTGCTCCACAAATCTGTTTCAGATACAGATAAAATCCTTGTTTCCAACCCTTTGTTAAAAACTGTATATCTGTCTAGTATTAATATCAATCATTTGTTGAATGCAATGATTTCAAAAGAGAATCTTTCCTACCTGTTTTTTGCATTGTCTTTCAATGAGCATTTTATGTTTTCAGTCTCTAAAAATGTGAAGCTACTTTTTCCATAGAAATTTACAAGACTGAGGTTTATTTAAACCAGACAAGCCAGACCACTCTAGTTTTCTGCAGATCTGAATGCATATTTTAAAGTCTCATGCTGACTGAGGTTCACTTTTCAGCTATAACCTGATGCTCTCACACTGTGATGCTTGCATCTCATCCAATTGGAGAACAACTCCTTGGCTTCTTTCTCCTTTTAGTCATAAGAAAGATTTGCAGCTGAGCATTATGCTGGAGCCAAGCTGTAGAAATAATAGATAACTATACACACACTAAGGACTGGGAGCCTTTCAGTCTGGTGAAAGAAGTCTGAAGAAAGGAAATGTTGTATCTGCATCTCAGCTCTATGGACATTTCCCATGATATGATCTGCCACTGTTTTTTGATAATATGTACTAGCAAAACGCAAAATGCAGGATGGGTGTACATTACTATCTGGTGTGGTCCAGACAGAGAGACTTGGGGTGTGCTTTGGTGGGTCAATTTGCACTGAAGGGTAGGTTGGTTGTAGGTGCACATCACTTCTCCAAAAATTTCTGTGTGGTCATTTCAAACTGTGTTATGGTACCTAATAAAATCACACGCAAAGCTGCTTGAGAACATTGTGTTCACAATGGAAGTGGAGTGCTCTGACGATACTTTTAGAGACAGGGACATTAAAACAGCTTACAGAGCACCAGTGGTACGCTTGAGTGCCTATCAGGTTCAATTCAGACATAAGGCAGACTTCCACCTCTTTAGAACCTACTTCAGCACACTAAAAAGATAATGTAAAACACCCCCCAAATACTCTACACTTGAGAGGAAGAAATCTGAGAACTTTATAATCACGAAGTATCATTTTTTTTTCTAAATCAAAGAGACTGCAAATTATTTTTAAAGAGAAATCTTGAATTATAATTCTAATACAGCACAGCTCATCAGGACAGCAAGATGGAATTCAGTTTACTCCCAATTGCATAGCATATAAGTATGTTAAAGGTCATTAAAATATTTAATATCCCATTGCATGTCTGTAAGTCAGTATATCAATCTGAAGGTTCTTTCATGCCTACTTATGTCTTTGTCATAGAATGACAGAATGGCCTGGGTTGAAGAGGACCACAATGATCATCGAGTTTCAACCCCCACACTATGTGCAGGGACACCAACCACCAGACCAGGCTGCCCAGAGCCACATCCAGCCTGGCCTTGAATGCCTCCAGGAATGGGGCATCCACAGCCTCCTTGGGCAACCTGTTCCAGTGTGTCACTGCCCTCTGGGTGAAAAACTTCCTTCTAATATCTAACCTAAACCTGTCAAATTTAGTAAAAATTAGAACAGTAAAATAACATAAAGACAATCCAGTTGCCATTAGGAAAACTTTTAGTATTTTGGATATTTCCCAATACGTGCCTTTTCATTACAGGAATACCACTTTCTAGCACACCTGAGTAGTTGAGTAGTCACTGAGGAAAAAAAATTGGCCTCGTTAGATGTGATCAGAATCTTTACCTCAATCTGCAGAATTTGCTTAGTAGAAAAGATGAAAAAGTAGCCCCCTGTTTTATTGCAGTGTCCCTACACTAATGCTTTTGAAAAGAGAAGGAAAATTGCTAGCAGTGTATCTAAGGAAAACAGTTAATTTCTATTGGACATCTTACAGGCTTTCCAAGGACCATTATGCATGTGGGCTTGGACAACAGAAAGAATTTTTCAGCTTCATCCTCATCAAAGATGTCTGTGAAGGGTTGAGATTGTTTTTCTTCTTGGGAAGCCATAAGTTATCTGAGATTGGAAGAAAAAAAAGCTTGTTATAAAATATAGTTCACATATGTATAAAAAGGCAGATACTTAAAAATAATAATGTGATAAGGCAAATTGCTCAGTAACAAAAGTTGCTATAAGGAGGAAAAGCATTCAGTCGATACACACAGCTCGTATAAGCTCTTGAGCTGCTTCTGCAGAACCACCATTGGAACACCCCCATCTCCAGCTGCTGCCATATGAATGTTAATAACAGCTTCTTTCTTCCTGCCTCTCCAACTGTCTGTAGCCGTTTTTAAAGCAGCTCCGACACTCACCATCCAAACAGCCGTGCCACGGCTCTCTCCTCCCCAGCAATCCTGGGGCAGCCAGGTTGTCACGGCAGCATCACGTGTGTGCGTCCCCGTCACCCGGCAACAGGAGAGCCCCGCCCCGTCCGGATAGCCCCGCCCCCGTCTCCCTTCCGCCCCGCCAAATCGGAGCTCAGAGTGGTGCGGGTCTCTCCCCGGAGCTGTCCTTAGTGCTGAACCGCCCGCCTGCGGGGCTACCGGTGCGGTGCCTGCTTCCCGGCGCGCCGCCCAGCCGCCCCGAGGATCGGTCCCGCGCTGCTCCTGAGACCCGCCAGCCGTCGGCGGCAGCGCAGGCGCTGTATCGCCGGCCGGTGAGCGCCTGCGCGGCGCTGCTCTGGCCCTTCCGCCTTCTGCCAGTGCCGCCGGTTGGGCCGTGCCGCTGTCTCCGGCCCTGCAGTGTCTCCTTCTCGTGCAGTCCTCCCGTAGCTGCTAACTGCCTGCCCGGCGGGCGGCCACCCTCCCCTCTGCCCCCCGCCGCGACTCCGGGCCGGGGCGAGGCCCCAGCGCTGCGGGGCCGCCATGCCGGCGGCGACCGCCGCCCCTCTGATCAGCTCAGTGCAGAAGCTGGTGCTGTACGAGACCAGGGCTGTAAGTAGCTCGGTGTGAGCGCGCCGAGGGAGCACTGCTTTGCTGCTGGGCCTGGAGCTCCCGACCCACTGTCTGTGTCGGAATTGGCTGCCCAGAGAGGTTGTGGATGTCCCTGGAGGTGTTCAAGGGCAGATTAGATGGGGCCCTGGGCAGCCTGGTCTAGTATTAAATGGGGAGGTTGGTGGCCCTACATTTGGCAGGGGGGTTGGAGATTCATCATCCTTGAGGTCCCTTCCAACCCTGGCCATTCTCTGATTCTGTCCGTTTGGCAGTATGGTGGTTTTATGCCAGAGATAGTTGTGGATGGAGTTAGACACGTGTCTTTAAATGCAACATTAGCTGTAAGTGTTACCTGCAGTGGTAACAGAACTCTGGTTTTCATGGTGAATGCGGTGTAACCTCATGAAAATATGTCTGAATGCACATGTAGGCCCAAAAGAAGCCTGGTGCCACGAAGAACAGGAATCACAGCCTTGCTGGGAGACAGGTTTGTGCTGCTGTGCTGATTCCCCACCGAACAACTCAGGGAAGATGGCTTAGTTTGTGCTGAGCTTTAAGGCTTGGTCTGAGAGACACCCTGCTGCTTACGGAGGCCATATTGTGCTCCAGGGTTCTGTCAGCTACAATCCTGTAGGCCTTTTGGAGGGATCAACTAGGTTAGGTACCTTATTCTTTCATGTTGGATGGGAGAGGCAGTATCTGCCTGAGTGGGCAGGCTTTGGTCTGCCCGTGCTTTGCGGTGTGCAGTAAGGGGAGAAGCAGCACTCCTGAGCTCTGGAGGAGGTTTTGGTCAGCTGTGAGAGGCAGTGGTGTTTGGATCTGCATTTGCATTGGAAATGTTTCAACTGTATAGTGGTGTCTCAAAACTGTTCCCTCAGTCACTGCTTGTGATGTAGATAGAGTATTTTCCCTAAATGTGGCTATATACTCTTTTTTAAAAAACAAAAAGTATGCTGTACTAGTACAAACTGCAGTGCTTTGAGTCCTGAAGTTCTGATTCTAGTACTCTTTTGAATAGGCGAAATGCCATATGAATCATTTTGGAATAATTGTTTGAAAACTCTTGATGCACAGACTCACGTAGGTTAGAAGGGAGTTCTGGTGATCATCTTGTCCTGCCCCTGCTCAAAGCAGGCTCAGCTAGAGCATGTTGCTCAGGACTGAGTTAGAAGTATCTCCATGTATGGAGATTCTGTAGCCTCTGTAGAGAACCTAGGTTAGAGCTTGAATACCCTTGTGATTAAAATAAATAAATAAATCCTTGCACTGAGTTACAATCCTGTGTGATTTGACATACATCCACTGCAGCTTGTCTTTTCACCCCTGTGAAGAGTTTGGCTCTGTGCTACCTATGCTTTCTCATTGGATCATTTTAGAGAACAAAACTGAACAAAACCAGCTTTCCAGGTCTCTTCCCATGTGCTCCATCTCCCTGATCGTGTTGGTAGCTGTCTGCTGGACTCACTCTATGTCAATACCTTTCTTGTCCTGGGGCACTCAAAACAGAACTTGTGACTTGGCAGAATCACAGAGAATCTTAGACGAAAATTTGTTGTTACAAATGATTCATTGTCATGTTGGGCTGCTGACAAAACTTCCCACTTCTTCTCCCTGAGGTTGCTCTGGCCCATGCAGCCTCCTTTGCATCAAATCTAATAATCATGAAATTCCCAGCTGTGACAGTTAGTCACTGATATGACGGAAGCATCACCCAGACATAAAATTCAATAGCTTTCTCCTGGTTCAGGTTGCTCTTCTGTTTTTCCTTAAGGCTGTACGCATGCAAGAGATGAAATGGGAGTGCAGGGACCAAATTTTGTATCGGATACAAGGTATATGAAACTGTGCCCCAAGATTCCTTAGGGGGATTTTGAGAAGACAAGGAAGGGATGACTTAGACTGTGAGCAGTGGGAGAAACACAGAGGGTATATCTCATTCTAGTAAAAGGCCTTTGTTGGGAGTGGTGAAAAGACAAAATTGATGAGAAAGTAGAAATAGTTCAGAAAGTCTTTTTTCTTCTTTTTGAGGGGAAAAAAATATAGTAGAATTAATGGAGTCAAACAGGAAAGACTCCTAGAGGTGAGGAAAACTGAATTCACAGTGCCAATTGAAATAACAATGAGCAAAATTCTTTATTTTCCGTTAACACTTATATTTATGGCACTTGCTGAGACTGACCTTTTGAACATGTGCTTTGGTTCGATAAATACCGTGGAGATTTAAATTGTATCTCCTGCTCATCCAGCCAACTTGAAGGCTTGTTTAGAAGTAGTCAAGAAAATGAGCTGAAACTGTTTGTATTCAGATCAGTGTCAATAATCTTTCAGTTTATTCATATATTTACTGTTGAAATGCACACCAGAGGGCAGTAAAGATGCTTCAGCAATGTGAAACAAAAATATTTTCTTATCTAGGAGAAGATTGATCTTGTGTGTATCCTGCAGATAAAACCCACCTGAAAGCTGTAGGCCACTTAGTTGGAAATTGTCATTCCCCTGAGTTAGTCTGATATTGTGTAAATCAATTTGTGCCATCTCTGTAAAATCACATCACTTACCTGTTTTCAGAATATTATGAGGCTTAATTAATACTATTTTATTCTAATCAGGTTCTGCTACAGCCTTCATGTTCATAGTATCCAAATGACTCCCACAGTTTATTAAGCAATGTGACTTGCATAATTACTGTAGATTTTTCTGCCTTCCACTCCCAGGGATAACTCTGTGACTGCTTGTTTATTTATTTCTTTATTTTATTTGTCTTAAAAGTAATTGGAAAGATTTTATATGAACAAAACAAGGTTAAAGGATGTGGATATCTTAAGCTGCGGTTAAATTTGATAAGCTTTATTGAAGAAAATGATCTGACAGAAAAAGCTACTTCTTTCTGTAGATGTTTAATATGTTTGAAGAATATTAGAAATAATGAACAATTTCCAGTAGCTGTTATAATTTTCTAGCTAGTTTTTGCTATGAAATTGTATCTCTCTCAAGTGAATTCATCAATGAATGAGAGCCCCTCTCAGTTGGACTCTGTACTATTCCCTCTGTATTGGTATTCCATGCTCAGGCAATGACAGCTGAGCAAAGGACAGGCTTGGGGCAAGAGAAGGAATTTTGTGAAGCTCAGGAGAATATTGTTTCCATCTTAAATATCTTGGTGTACTGCCAGGCATATGGGCAATAAAATGGGAATTTAATCTACTGGTGAGGTCTAGGACCATTTGTTAGCAGATGCTTGGTGGAATAACACTGATGAAAATACGACAAGTTTAGAAGGATATGTAAGTACGCCTATATATATATTGTCCTGGGTGTCATCATGTAGTCACTAGATCAACAAGAGAGTAATACTCTTACAGATCTAGGTTTACTGTGAGTCCACTTTTCTGTATAGCATTATGGTAAGGATTTTGTGGTTAAATGGTCACAAATTGAAATACAGTGGAAGAATGAAGAAAAATAGGTAAGAAAAATAGGTGTGAAAAGAACAAAAAGAGAATGGGCCTGCTTGGAGAGAGAAGAAAAATCATTTAGCTAAACAGTGGAATGACTGTAACTATTTTCAACAAGTTGTTCAAATCAGGGGTGATGCTGTGACTGGAACTTAAATGGAATATTTAATCCACACCTGCATAATTTTTTGTAGGAAAGTAGTTGAAAATGGAGGTAAATAACATAAAGTGCAGTCTAGACTTCAAAGATGCTAGCAGATTAACCTGATTGTTTTGCATATCTTCATCTAAAAATTAGATGGCCTGACATATTTAAATCAAATACTCTGCTGAGGTGCAGCACCACAAGGAAAGTCTATAGCTTCCCTAGTGGAAGGGAGGTTATTAGAGAAGTTAATTGTGGATTCAATAAGGAATCATCTCATGGGGGTGATTTTTTTTTTTTTTTTTCCCGAGTAATTGCTTTAGGACCAATATGTTTTAGCAATTACAGTAATGATCTTGGCCTCAAATGAGGGCGAGCTCTGAAATATTGCCAATAATTAGGGTAGTCAGAGCACAAGATTGCATGAAATAATGATAACCCTCAGGAGTATATAAAAGAAGTAATTTGGAATAGAATAGTATACTAAGAAACTTAGTGCACCTTAGGCAGATTATACACCATAAAAGTTTTGTGGGGGTTTATTAATTCAGAAGCAGGAGAGGAGGAAGATCTGGTTAATTTAGCAGAAGAAAAATTGGGAGGCTTAGCTGCTCATGTACAACTGTGAAAAAGGCAGATGTGATCTTTTGCATTATGGTTCTTAATGAGACAAATACTAATATATCTATATGAAGAGACTTTGTATGGCATGTTGTGTATACTTTCTATTCCTCAACATTAAAGAGATAAGAATTAAAACTAGAATGGATACACTGAAGGTTCAATGAGTAACACAGGTGTTAGCCTTCTCTTAGGAGGTGCAAAGGATAAAGAATATTTAGTTATTGTTATAATAAAGGAT